TTAAAATAACCAGCCAACCGATTCAACGTCAAGCCAGAGCCCAGAAATGAGCATGGCCAAGAGAAATGGTAATGCGGCCGGTTGAGAGCGCCCATCCTGCTACTGCTCCTGCTCCTGCTCCTCCAGGCACTTCCTCGAGGGCCTTGTGCTTGCGACTCCTTCATTTCGCACTACTTTGGAGCATTTTCTCAATGTCTTTCACTCGACAAAATGTCGACAGCGTCGGCGGAAACCATTAATTTTGTCACTTTCGGAAGTGTAAAGTGGCGAGCATGTGGGAGTTGCAGGCCGGGCCATTGACCAGGTCACCAACTGGCTGGGCAATAGTGAGAATCATGAAAGGGCAATTAAAGCCGGGCACCTGTGTGCACCCGTCCACGAGTATATCTTCTTGCCGCCGCCCGACACTTCCAAACAAGTTAATTGCACAGACCGCAGGGCCCATGACACTTGATAACCGCGAAACCGCAACAGGAATATGTTAACTTAATAATTGCATGTGCATAATTTAATAGTAACGAATGATGAGGAATAACCGCGGGCACCAAACGATAGTCGAGTCAGAGAAGGATGCTTAGAAATAACAAGTTTTTAGAGGTAGTCCTATAAGTAGTCATAGCCAGAAATATCAATTGGCGGTCAGCTTCAGTCTTCGATGACGCACATGATGTTGATGCCACTCTTGCCCAGATTGACGCACTCCAATGCAGACTCCTGCTGCTGGCGCATGTAGATCAGGAACTGGATAATCACGTAAAACAGATTGTTCCTATCGTAAACGCAATTGTGCAGCTCCTTGTCGCTGATGAAGTTGAACTTGGGGTTAAGCTGGTTGCTGGTGGTCAAAATGGCGCAGTGGGCCTTGTTGTGGACAGCGTTGACCACGTCCTTGGTGGAGCGTTTCTCGTCGCGAATCAGCACGTAGCGGGAGTGGAAGGGTCGGCCACCGCCCTGCGGCAACGGCATCAGCTGGCTGTCCAAATACACGCAAAACAAATGGAACAGTATCTGGGAATAAAGACAATGTAAAAATAATTGCATAATTTCTTGATTTACATCTCTTACAGCTGCATCGGTGGGCAAGTGCTCTCCCCACTCCTGACCATTGTGCGTCTTGCCCGAGTTCCAGCGGTAGTCGGCTATGCAGGAGCCATGCGAGAGCTCCTTGATGCGCTGCACCAGGTACTCCTGGTTGCCGAAGGTGTCGAGGAAAGGCAAGAGCATAGGCAGCATGGGGGCGCAGGTCTGCACGAACTGCTGGTTCTCGGCCGTCTTGCGGAGCCTCTCTAGACTCACAGCTCCGATCTTCATATCAATTAGACCCCGCTGGCGGAACACATCGTCTACATAGTTTATCTCCTTGACCAAACGCTGCAGTATGGTGGTGGAAATCCACTAAAAAAATTTTAAAATATAGTATGCATGAAAGAAACTCCCTAATTCCTGCTTACAAATCTCAGGTTGGCCACGTATTGCGACAGTTTGTCTGTGGATATGCGCTTGATGACCTCTGAATTGCTGTCCCTAAACTGAAAGCCACCAAACTCCTCAATGGAGGTCGGGGCATTCTCCGTGGAAACAACAGGCGCTGGCGACAATTGGTAGATGGTGGTCTTAAGCATGTAGGCCGCATTGTTGCAGTAGTTCCAAAAGGAGTTGGCCGAGCCCATGCTCTGGACACTGGGTGCTTCCGAGCTGTCCACCATGCTGCGCTCCCGCTCCGCCTGCTTCATTAGAGCGGGCAACTTCCGGATATCTGTGATAAAGTCATCCCGCCGCACCTCTGCGTATGGCGACATGTAGGTGGACTCGTTGCTCAGGTTGCTGGCGTTCAGCGAGTTGTTCTGCACCATGGAGGAGTTGTAGGAGGTGTTCTGGTTCGTCTGCTGGGGAGTCCTTGTGGGACTGGGACTGCGACGCATCGACTGCGAGCCCCAGCAGGAGTCCTCGAAGGAGGAGTGCCAGTTGATGATGGGTATGTCGTCGTCGGCATCGGAGTCGGGTTCGTAGCTGAGTGGCTTCATCACGGCTCTTGCACATACGGTCCTAAAGGAGTTTTCTGAAATGGGGGGAATGCCGTGATTAACTGGCTACGTAGGGCATATTCTGGGGCCCCTTACCTTCCCTGCCGTCCAGCAGGCACTTCTGGCTATCGGTTCCCATCACCTGGTCGCCGCCAAACCATAACCACAAATACTTGCCGAAGCAGGCCAGGGCACTTAGGGCAATTAGGGTGGTAAAGGTGCACTCGGCCAGGAACCAGTATGTCCGGTAGACGGACCGACATGCCTGCCAGATGTCGAAGAGCAGCAGCGACAGGAGCACCACGTTTATGGAGCACCACTTGAGGTAATGACGCGCCTGGGCGCCTCGCAGTCGCAAGTCCAGGCTGCGCTGCACCAACGGATTTCTGCTCAGCGGAGAGCTGTGTGGTGTGCAAGGGTTATTTTTCTGGACTCTTGGTTGACTTCGCACACTTACCAATTGCTCCTGGTGAAATTCATTGTTTGCAAGCGAAAATATAAAGCAGAGTGTATGAAAATGCGAAAAATGCCGGGAAATTGGCGGCACTGCTGAAGTCTGACCGTTTGTTAGTCGCAGTGAAAGTGTGACCCTTGTCGACGGTGTTGGAAAATATCTAAATTTGACTGACAGCTAGATGTCGCTATAAAAACTCCGCGTAAAACGTTTGTGTAAAATGCATGTAATATCAGGTAGATTTTTCATTGAAGCAGTGTTGCAGTTTTGGATTCTTTATGGCTATTTCTTGCATTTAATCAAACTGATTAAACAGGTGGAACAGCTGATTAAAAAGGTTCCTGTAAATAGCTTAGAAATTGCTATACTTTTATTCATTACTGTGTATAATTTAACATTTCAGAGATCCTAAAAATAGTGAGATGATATTGTAAATTGCAAGGAAATTGTTATTTTATAAGCCTTGTTGCTCTTTCAACATTTTTTTGTGTTGCTAAAGTTTAGAAAAAAAAATAAACTTAGTTTCAGCTTGGGCTCGTCCGGGAATTGAACCCGGGACCTCTCGCACCCGAAGCGAGAATCATACCTCTAGACCAACGAGCCGGGTTGAACCGCAGTCGGCCAATCACTCAATGTAAGGTTAGCCCTGAAAAACTCAAGTGTAACAATTCCCACTCAAATGACGATATATGTATATATATTACGTCATCATAGCCCCAGAAATATTTTTATTGTAGCATTTAAGGGTAAGCCTGCTATTTGAACACCACATTTCTCCTCAGTGATCTGCATCTTAAAAAAATAAAATTCATAGGTCAATGAAATAAACTCGACGTTTAGAGTCAGTCAGTAAATAGACCTATGGTTTATCCTGGATGATTTTGTAGGATGCATTGAATACTAGAACCCGACTTCACTTTAACAAACACGATAATGGCCAGAAGAATAAATTTATTTATAAGTTATTTTTATGCTAACAAACAACATAATAATTCAACAATTCTATAATTTTTATAATATCCACATTTCTTTATAAGTAACCAGCGCATTTTTTATTAATTTTTTTTTTGGAAACTATTTTTAGAATTTCACTTATCCAACAGCCTCACATATAAAACACTGAGTTAGTAAACATGGGGTTTTGTACATTAGGGCATGGAAAATATCCACACAGTTATTGTCAATCCTAAAGTATCGGGAAGATTCTGGAGCCCACTTAATAAAGGGTGCTGGTTTGCCAGAGGATAGAAACTTTCCCTTCTTGACCACGTCTGTGATGCCCAGCCAGTAGTGTTCATAGATCTTTAAGTTCTCTTTGGATGGCGGCGGACTTCACCCTTCGTCCTGAATAGTTGCCAGGCTACCGCCCATCTGGGGGGGTTTTTTTTTCCCCCTCCCAAGAATTTTTTATTTTCTTTTTGACGTAAATTAATCTAGACCGACCGCCTGAACAAAGGAGATATACCAGCTTTGGTTTTATTAAACACATTTTCCTGCAGACCGCCTAATGCGTTCCAGTGTCGACGTAATCCAGGAAGATTTCTTCTGGTCCAGCAACCTTTGGTTTGGATCCTGGTTTGGTTCCTGGGCTTCGGCAACAGCTTTGAAGACACTGATTTTTGAATTATTTGTTCAATTTCGGGGAGCCTTAAATTAAAGCGCACAACTTCCCGGATGTTCTGAATTGCCTTATCAGAAAACAAGTAAAACCGCTGGAAGAAATACAAATTTCGCAAATAATTTGAAACTTGATGTAGACCTTTCGTTTATCAAATAAATATATATTTTTTTAATTCAAACATAAATCCTAGGCAGTGGATTCTGAGCACTTTATTTGGGTCTCTGTTGAGTCTCTCTCAATATGTTTTTAACGAGTTGTAATCTAGAATTATATTTTATTATATTTGCTGACAAAGTTTAGGAAGTAAAGTATTTAGATGAAGAGATCAGAACGATTTACGCAGTTCCGTATATAGAGTTCCCCAGATTTTAGAGTCCGCTTCTTTAAACTTTTTAAATGTTTCCCCGCTTTTCTACCATATCAAGGGAAACCTTGACTTTATTCCAAAAGTGTTGGCTGTTTGGAAATAAACTCATTGGCAAAAGTTAGGCGTTTTTGCCTATTGACTTCTGATATCAGAAGTTTCTTGCGGGCACTTCTACTATGATAGTTTGAATTTTTATCACACGGCGATCCTCAATCTGGAGATGTGCCTGGTGATCTGTCATCAATTATACAAATTATGCTTTAGGAACAGCAAGAGGTCTAGTGGAAAGACATCCGTGGAATGACTTGCCAGCTTAAGACCTTATTAATTTAAAATTAAAAAACTTTGCTGAAAGAGGCAGTTTTAAATATATTTAAGTAGTACGTTTTTCTTAAAACAATTTATTTTTATAATTTATATTGTAATTAATAATTGATTATATTTATAATTTCTTTGTTATTAATTAACAAAGTTGTTTTCTCAAGCATGCGACAAGGAATCTTTAAAGACACTCCTTTGATTTCTGGTTTCTCTTTACTCACACAATCCAATTCGACCGCTGATATTTCCACCCAAAAGCCACTTGTCGTAGTCCTCGCTGAGATTCTCATTCAGACTGCTGACCTCCTCCAGAAGGAGGCAGTGCACCAATGGGCTTGGATATAAAGCCAGCTGTCGTGGAAGAGCCTCCCATATTAGAACCGATGTTCACATTAAGTTTTTTCATTAACTTTATAAACAAGAAACCGACCAATAGAATAAATAACAAGAAAGGAAAGCTATCTTCGGGCGGAGCCAAGTTAATAAACCATTGCAGAATATTCTGTAAATTATATTCTCCAAAATTATTCATATGATGCATTCTTAATACTCATAAAAAGTCCCAACTTCCTAACATTAAAAACACCACAGTAATGGCATTTCTAATCGTTCAGTTATATGGCAGCTATAGGATATAGTCGGCCGATCGCTATGAAACTTGGAAACACCAAAGTTATGGCATTTCCGATCAATCAGTTATATGGCAGATATAGGATATAGTCGACCGATCCTTATGAAATTTGGTAGATCGGATTGATTGGCCAAATATAAAACTCATAAAAAATCCAAACTTCCTAACTTTAAAAATACCAAAGTTATGGCCTTTCCGATCGTTCAGTTATATGGCAGCTATGGGATATAGTCGGCCGATCCTTATGGCATTTGGTAGGTCGGATTGATTGGCCAAATATAAAACCCATAGAAAATCCCAACTTCCTAACTTTACAAACATTAACTTTATGGCATTTCCGATCAATCAGTTATATGGCAGCTATAGGATATAGTCGGCCGATCCTTATGTAATTTAGTAGGTCGGATTGATTGGCCAAATTTAAAACCCATAGAAGATCCCAGCCTCCTAACTTTACAAACACCAATGTTATGGCATTTCCGATTAATCAGTTATATGGCAGCTATAGGATATAGTTGTCCGATCCCGGCCGTTCCGACATATGTACTGCGTGCAAAGGAAAGAAGGGTGTGTGCAAAGTTTCAATTCGATATCTTTAAAACTGAGATACTAGTTTGCGTAGAAACAGACAGACGGACAGACGGACATGGCTATATCAACTCAGGAGGTGATGCTGATCAAGAATATATATACTTTATAGGGTCGGAAATGTCTCCTTCACTGCGTTGCAAACTTTTGACTGAAATTATAATACCCTCTGCAAGGGTATAAAAATACTTAACAATTGTTTCATTTATGCACACTTCTTTATTAGTAACGAACGTAATTACAATTTTTTTTGATTTTTATACCCTTGCAGAGGGTATTATAATTTCAGTCAAAAGTTTGCAACGCAGTGAAGGAGACATTTCCGACCCTATAAAGTATATATATTCTTGATCAGCATCACCAGGAGAAACGATCTAGCCATGTCCGTCTGTCCGTCCGTCTGGCCGTCTGTCCGTCCGTCCGTCCGTTTCTACGCAAACTAGTCCCTCAGTTTTAAAGCTATCTGCTTGAAACTTTCCCAAAAGTTGTCTTTCTATTGCAGGTAGTATATAAGTCGGAACGAGCCGGATCGGGTGACTATATCATATAGCTGCCATATAACTGAACGATCGGAAAAGCCATAGCTTTGGTGTTTGTAAAGTTAGGAAGTTGGGATTTTTTATGGGTTTTATTTTTGGCCAATCAATCCGACCTACCAAATATCATAAGGATCGGCCGACTATATCTTAAAGCTGCCATATAACTGAACGATAGGAAATGTCATAACTTTGGTTTTTTCAAAGTTAGGAAGTTGGGATTTTTTATGAGTATTAAGAATGCATCATATGAATAATTTTGGAGAATATAATTTATAGAATATTCTGCAAGGGTATATCAACTTCGGCTCCGCCCGAAGTTAGCTTTCCTTTCTTGTTTAGAATATTTATTTAACTTTTATAGAAACTTTTTTTAGATTAGGTTTAGCAATTGCATATTGGATAGTTGAATAAGACTTTGTGTAAATACAAAAATTCAATTATTTCACTTATCCAACAGCCTCACAGATAAAATACACAGGTAAGCTACATGAGGTTTTGAGCATTTCGCCATGGAAAATTTCCACACAGCCATTGTACAATCTATAGTATGAAAGAGATCTTACACGCAACTTAATAAAGGGTGCTGGTTTGCCAGAGGCCACGGATATAAACTCTCCGTTTTTGGCCACGTCTGTGATGCCCAGCCAGTAGTGTTCATAGATCTTTAGTTCTCCTTTGATGGCGGTGAAGTCCGATTCGTCCTGAATAGTTGCCAGGTGACCGCCCATCCGCCGGCAGGTTTCTTCAGCCTTTCGTGTTCGACGTAAATTAATCTAGACCCGATCCGCTTGAACAAAGGGGGTATACTAGCTTTGGTCTCATTAGACAAACTTTTCTGCAGAGCTTCCAGTTTTCAATGCGTTCTAGTTTCGTCCGTAAGTCAAGGGGATTTGTATTCCTCGAAGCGGCTTCCTCCTGGTCCAGCAACTTCTCCAGTTTGGCTTCTATTCTGTCAAGTTTTTCCTGGGTTTCATCATGTTCTTGGGGATGGCAGGTGCTCCACTCCTGCTGGTGAAAGGCAATGTGATCGAGCATTGGCTTCAGTGCCTCAAGACAAAACATTCCACATTGGCTTGGCGGGTCGTTCAATAGGCATACGGATCGCCCATTGTCCTGCGCTTCTGCCAACGTTCCATACAAATTGTATGAAAGGAAAGCCAATAAAAAAATAACCGATGACTTTAACATATTAAAAGTAAGCAATCAGTAAGGGCAACCGCTTTGAAGGCACTGATTCTCGACTTATTTGCTCCCTAAATTAAAGCGCACAACTTTCGCGATATTCTGAAATGCCTTATCAGAGAACAAGTAAAACCGCTGGTTTGAATGTGTTGTAAACATCTGTGTATCATATAAATAATTTTGTTTTTTCTAATTCAAAAATAATTTCTAATCGGTGGCTGTGAAGCACTTGATTTGGGTCTCTGTTGAGTTACTCTCAAGATGTTTTTAGCGAACTGTAATCTCGAATCATATTTTAAGTTTTAATACAATATTTTATTATATTTCCTGACAAAGTATAGGAAGTAAAGTATTTGGATGAAGAGATCAGAACGATTTACTCAGTTCCGTGTCTAGGTTTCCCCAGATCTCGGAACCCGCTTCACAGCCCGTCGTCTCCTCCTGCGCTTGCCCACCACTGAGGGTCCCACTCCAACCCCTACTCCGATCCCGGGCACCGGGGCCAGCTGCAGCAGGAGGGGATTACTGATCAGGGCAGCGGCGATGCCCAGCACGGTGGCACTGGCCAGCGGAATGAGGAAGCTCTTGGCCAGCAGGGCTTTGGGCGAGAGCTCCGGCGAACCCTTGTGGGAGACGAGCTCGTGGGAGTCCACGGGGAACGAGCTGTAGGAGTAGTCCACCGGTGGTCCTGCATAGTGACCATGCTCCGGTCGGGGTCTGTAAGCGTGGTACGGCACTCCCGCCTCTCCGCTGGAGGAGTAGCCATGGCCAGGAGCTGGTCCTGGCTCGTAGCCATGTCCGTTGGAGGATCCGTAGTCGTAGGGATAGGGGTGACTTTCGTAGCCGTAGCTCTTCCCAGCACTTCCACTGCTGGCATAGTGACCTGCTCAGAGGAGTAATCTCTATTGACATTCCCTAGATTTCTGGTTTCTCCTCACTCACCCACGCTAATCCGATCGTGGATGTTTCCACCCAAACGCCACTTGTCGTAGGCCTCGCTCAGATTCTCATTCAGGCTGCTGACCTGCGGCCCACCATGTGCTCCTCCAGCCGGAGGCAGTGCGCCAATGGGCTTGGATATAAAGCCAGCTGCTGTGCTGTCCAACTTGGAGGTCGTTGAGCCGGGTCCTCGGTAAAACTCCGGCGGAGGATCGTAGCTCTTGGCTGCGGCCGGGCCCAGGGGGTCCAGTTTCACAATGGCCTGTCGTTTCTGGGGCTGCAGGGGCTTCCAGGAGTCGGATTCCTTGGACGCGTTCTTCGCCTGCGCGGCCGCAAGAGCCATAAAAAGACCGAGGCCGAGTAACTTCCCTGTGATCGCGAACATTTCAACTGAGTGGGCCGCCTCCAAAACTGTCGACTTTATAGGGCTTCCAGCCCGCAGTCATGTCGTCACCTGGAGTGGGTGGCATTACGAGCGGTGGCGACAAATTGCGGGCAGACAATTTCAAGCCTTTCAAGCAGTGCTGGCATTGAGACGTCTGCAGTGCGTTTCGGGAGCGATTAGTGCCGCCAGCTTGGGAGCTCCCCAATACCAGGCGGTTCTTTCCACACTCTTTCGTCAGGCCTGGCATTTCATCAGCTGGAGCAGCGGGCATGCATGTAGTTGCCAATTTGTCCCTCTCTCGGGTTATTGAAATAAAGCGTGTGCAGCCGAAATTTGTAGTTACTGGCAGGTGGGCAAATGGAAATTAGTGGAGTTGTTCGCGCCCCCAGCTAAAAAAAGCAGAAGGCACCAACTCCGTTTAATTAAATCATTTATCGCTGCTTATTTTAGCTGGGAGTGCTCAGCCAAGGGGAATGATGAGAAGTGAGGTCGAAAAGGTTTGGAAATGTTAGCTTCGGAGTTAAAGAAAGTACAGCCTATGGAAAATGTTTGTAAACTGTATGATGAAAGAGTTGTCAGAAGACCTGCGCAATATCTTAGATGGTTCTTTTATCGGGGTACTTATGTACGTACTTACCATATGCAAACCATACAAAATATAAAGGCGAATAACGAAATATAACAGAGACTTTAAATTAAAGATCAGTTTCCAAGAGCAAGAAACAGTTTTCAAATATCTCTTAATAAATGAGATACATTCTTGAGCTTGGCATGATTCATAAGCACTTAAGTATTGCAGTTTTTTGTAGGCTCTTCAACTTAAAGATATAAATTATATTATTAAGGGGACCCCTTGCTTCAGTTTTAACATATAACTTTTTAAGAATATTTCGCGACCATTTCAAAAGAAGCTTTTCCAAATCTGAGGAAGATATTTATAATTCAGGGAAAAACGCATTTCAAAAGCATTTTCTCGAAATTCAATTTTGAGATTGATGTAAAAAATTAAAAGTTAAAAAGTTTCGTTAAAGTTTTAAATCGGAAATGGGATAGAGGGTCGATCCCACGAAAAAATAACTATGTTTAAATATTTGTCAAGAGATTGTATGTCAGTTTCCTCAGGATTCGATGGGTAGTTTTACAAATATCGTGTTATACAGTTACTACATTTTAAAGAAAATGAAGATAATGAAACTGAAACCAGAACAGAATAAATAAGCCATTGCAAAGCCCCATTCCGAACATACAAACAGTTTTAAGACATAATGAGATGATCCCAAGTCCGACTAGCGTGCAATACTTGGGCGCTTGCGATACATTTCTGGCATATCCTCGGGATCGGAATCGGATGTGGGCGGAGTGGGCAGATTGCCCTCCTTGTCGCCCAGCATCAAGCGCTCCAGGATCTCGACCTGGACGTTCAGGATAGCCATGAGCTTGAACATCCGCTCGCCGCGTCTCAGGTAATCCTCATGTTGCTCCTCGTCGGAGAGCTTTTTCTCGCGCCATCCTCTCTTTTCCTTTTCTGTCTTTGCCACCTCCTGCTCCTTTAGCCCGATTTCCACGTTCTGAGCCACTGTGCGTCCGTTGCTCTGGTAACTCCTCCGCATGCACTTGAAACAGCGACCCCACACATCCACGTACTCGATGCGAAGGAAGTCCAGGAAGGAGATGTGCTTCCGGCCCAAATGTTCCTTCAGGTCCCTGCCCGTCACATTGAAGTAGTCGTAGATGACGGAGGCGAACACATTCAACAGGATGATGGCCAGCAGGAAGACCAGCACCAAGTAGAGCAACATCCCCAGCACGAGTCCTCCGTGGAAGAATTCCGTGGGCCTGAGGCCCGCGTTGTAGCCCACGGAGTACCTAATTCAAATATGTTTATACTCATTTTTAAGGCACAACAATTATAAAAGCTGTAGTCTAGTGTTTCGACTATGCGATACCCGATAATTACTCTTACGAAATGCAAGGTTCCCCTAAAAGTAAAGTATTTATTCTCTACGAACCATAGTACTTATTTGTTTAATTTAAAAGATGCTAAAATTCCTGAAGTTCAATAAGGATTATTGAGAATTTACTAGATTTTTCGGACAAGGCAGAGTTATTGTTTTTCTGGGAATTATTTATAGATTTTCTTAGTATTGTAATATTTTTGGAAATCTATAAATTTCATTCTGTGAAATGGTATTAAAAACCACTAAGAATAGGGCTTAGGTTAGGTTAATGTATAATAACTTGACATAAGATCAATATAAAACAAGGAATGATAAACAAAAAATGCAAACACCTTTCTTAACAACAATGGGTTTCATAATGAGCGCATGGGATACAATTTACGGAGTCTTGCAGTGAATTAAATGTTCGATTCTAGATACAAGTACTTACCACAAGCAGGTGACAACGGCCGTGATGACGTGATGGAAGACCACTGCGTTGTTCCCATTTGGAACGGCCAGTGCTATGCCGATGCCCATGAGGACGATAAGGATGATCAGGCCCAGACTGGCCACCGCACGCCAGGCGCAGAAGAGCGTCTGGGTGAAGTGCTGGAAGACGGAGGCGAACTGCAGGACCTTCCACAGCCGCAGCGTGGTGATGCTGACCAGGAATCCCTTCACGATGGCCAGAAGTTGGTGGAGGCGCAACGGGCGCTGGAAGTCCAGGTACTGCCCCTTGGTGTACGTCTCGATCATGTCCAGCAGAAGGTCCGTCTCAATGTTCCGCATGATGGTCAGGCCCACCAGTAAGCCGTTCAGCACGCAGATGGTCAGGTCCACCATTGTCCAGATTTGGCGGATGCAGCCCGGATCGTGCCAGAGCTTGGAAAGAAGTCCGCGGGCGAACTGGATGACCAGGATGGCGTAAAAGACCACCACCAGAAGGTCTACCGTTCTCGTCATTTCCACAGTGGCCAGCATCTGGACGGTGTCCACATGGAGTCGGGATATCTGCAGTCCGAACGGAGTGTTCTCCAGCCGCAAAGTGATCACCGAGAATGCATTCGCATCCGCATTGTACATCGTGAAGTCGATGAACAGCGCCGAAGTATTTTCGTTTAGCCAATTGTATTTCCGCAGGTATTCAATCTGCTTCAGGCAGTTCACCTGTCCATGTTTTCCAATAAAAGTAATTAATATGTATACAATTTACGCTAATGAACTTCCCACCTTCGTTGCCATCATCAGCATCACGTAGCCACCGAGTTCCGGGTAGTTATACATGTAGCCGTGATGATGGAAATTGAGCAGCAGTCCGTCCAGGAAACCGGGCTCGATGTCGACCGGCCTGAAGGGATCGTAAATTCGCCAGAACTTGTCCGTGTAGTGCAGTCGTTGGTATGGCAGCCGCCACTCGGGCGCGTACGTGGTTTGGTCCCACTTCGGCTCCTCCAATCCGATCCGGGTGTTCACAGGACGCACCTGGCGCAGGCGCACCACTCCGATCTTCTGCCACTGCTCTATGGCCCACCAGCCTTCGACGTGGTGGACGCTCGGAGTAAAGAATCCTTCGACCATGGTTATCTTGAGGTAATTGTGGATCTGCAGAATAGTATTTTCATGCTAAAGTACAATGAATAGAATAATGTCGTTTAAAGAATTTTTAAGATTTGGCCTATATCGTAATCACAAAAAAATGTTTTAAAAATTGTTTTTTAAAATAAATATTTTTTTGCCCTTCCTCCTTTTTTTTTTTTAATAAATTACCCTTTCCACGAGTAACTAATAAAAGTAGTCAAGACTACTTCAAAAAAATTCATACAAATATTTTGTAAAGAAATGGCTTATAAGCATTACAAGAAATGAATTTAAAATAAATAATAATAATAATAACATCTTGTTAAAATAAAAATTAAGCAAGAAATTAACCGATTTGCCTGTACTTGAATTATGCTTTTTTTTCCACTCTCAAAATATTATTATTTTAAGGTAAACTTTTTGAACCAATATTCTGGTCGATAGAGTGGTCAATTTTATGTTACTATTCTAGTTTTTTTACAGTGAACGATGTTTCCCTATTAAATCCCCCTTCCATATCTAAATTACGTCCATGTGGCATTGTTTTAATAAGTAAGGCACTAAATGAAGGCCATAGAAATAAGGGATATAACATACTAATTATTTTTAAAGTGAATACTTATACTGTCCAGCCCAATATTTTATATTTTTAATTGTCCAGTGCTATAAAGGTAATTTAATAAAGGCTTGTTGGTGAGACCAAAATGTGTAATTTTATGAAAAGACTTCAAGAAAGTGCACCACCCACCTGGTAAAGGAAGTATATCTGCGACAGGCCGAAGGTGACCGATGTGTTGTCCCAGAAAAGTCGGTGCATATTGTTGGTGTTGAAGTAATGGTTCTGGTCCTCCTGGGTCACCACCATTACCATCAGGGTAATGAAGAGGAGTCCGTAGAGCGCGAGGTCCCCAGTGATTTGTTTGTATCTCCGATTCAGTGTCTCGTTCTTGTGACCCTCGGTGATCAGGAGCTCGGATCGCAGACTGCGTAGCCGGATTTTCAGGTAGGCGATATGATTCTGCTGGGGCATTCCCTTCTCCGCCTTGTGCGGCTGTTCCTCCTGCGGCCAAGTGGCGTAATCGATGGCCATCACCAGGATTCGGAGGGGTTCCAAGACGAGATACTGGAAAAACACCACCAGGACAATGGTCACCATTATCATCCTGTATCTCTGGGGCTCGTGCACGAATCCCGAGAAGGTTGTGATTAGGGTGAAGCACACCAGCAGCACTACAGTGGTCACCCCGAAACATGCCCAATCCTTGCTTTTGATATTTTTGTATATCATTATTGGTTTATTAATTGATGCTTTTTTAAAATTGAATATTTAACTATCTTTATAAATAAGCTGTTGACTTTTAGTGCGCTGCTGACTGAGTTAAAAATGCTATGGAAATAAATTTGTTTGAAGTACATATAAAATTGCATTTTAAAAGCCAGTTTGGGATTGAAGTTAAGTCAGTTTCCCTTATCCATATTACGAGGATTGAATTATTTATTAAGGTTTCTACTTTTTGTTAATACGATTTAATATTAATTTTGAATTAAGCCAGTTCCATCCCACTCAAATCAATACCCAACTACATTACTTTCAACGTATTTTTATTTAGTATTGATAGTAGCCATTTGGTAGGTATTGATGTATATTTAGGTATAAATGTATATGCACAATTCATTAACTTAGTTAACTCTTCTAAATTAAAGCGGTATTGTTCCGAAAGATCCTCTTGTATACTTGGAGACTAGGTGCTAGGGTGGATATCCATACATAGTTGACTAGACATACGATATAATGCGTATAATACTGGATGATCGAGACGGCGATCCGCTAGATTCGATAGACTTGCGAGCCCTTTCATACATTTTCGGAATTGACTTTCAGTGGTCCGGGATCGGGATCGGTATTGGGATCGGATTCCCGGACAACCACCTCCTGCGACATGGACACTGAGAACGGAACCCCTCCGCGGAGGGAACACACATGCTATATACGGTTAGATACAGGTGGATTAGTTAGTCTGGTTAATGGTTAGTCTGTGTGACGGCGATTCTCGGGGGGATTAGTTGCTGGGCAACTGGGAGCGCTTGCCCCAGCCGCCGTGCAGCTTCTGCCACTGGTCACGCTTGCCCCACATGCCCTTCAGGTTGTTCCATGTGGGCTCGCGCTTGCCCCAGGCGCCCCTGAACTTGTTCCAGCCCTGCGCCTGCCTCCTCTTGCCCCAGGCCACGTTCATGCTCTTCCAGGCCCGCTTCTCCACGTCCGGTTCGCCACCGAGCTCGTCCAGATCCTCGCCAGACTGCGATTGCTGCTGGAGCTGTTGCTGCCGTTGCTGTTGCTGCTGTTGCTGTGCCGTCTGTCCACTGGCCAATCGCTCGAAGGTGTCCCAATCGATGGTGTTGGTGCCGTCGGTGATTACCAGCGGCACAAAGTGTCCGGTCATGTAGATGTCCGGATCCCCCGAATCTCCGGCGGAAGACCGCTTGCCCCACGAACTCTGCAGCGACTGCCAGGCGCGCTTGTTGTTGTTGTACAGGTCGCTCTCGCTAAGTTGATCCAGTACCACCTGCTCGGATAGTCCGCCGCCTCCTGGTTCATTGGAGGCGGCACTGGCGACACCGCCGCTGGTCACCAGACTGCCGCAGGCGCTGCCCAGGATCAGGAGCACCAGCAGGAATCCGTACGTCCTCCGCGTCTTCGTGTGAGCCATCACTGTGGAAACGCGGAATTCAAAGGCGGAACATTTAGTGAGCGGAAGCCAAAATTAAGCAATGCAGTCGGAGAAAAATGAGTGTGCAGGAATTAACAATTATATATATTTTTATACCTTTCAAAATTGCACCAGGACATACCCTATAAATATATATATTCTTGATTCAGGATTTTTGAAATTTTATATTATATATTAATCCTTATTTGTATCGTGAAATATTGTTTTCGAATAGTTAAAATAAAAGATTTGCCTAACTTTTTGGATATTTTTTGTATATGTATTTTGTATAAGGAAAATGTTTTAAAGGAAATTACTTATCCAATACCATATATTGATAGGAAATCAAACTTATGGTATTTTAAAGTTACAAAGTATGGGACTTTCTATGGCTTTCAGTTAGCATTGAAAGGAATAAACCTAATAGATACATTTATGATTATCGGAAATGCCGTAACTTTAGTGTTTTAAATAAATTTATGGTTTAAAAACTCCTTTATAAACTTATAGAATACAAACCAAACCCAAAGTTATCTTACCATACTTGATTTATTTTATTAAATTTGTATTAATCCTTATTTGTATTGTGAAATATTATAACTTGTTTTCGAATAGTTTAATTAAAGGATTTGCCACAAAAATATTAATTTAAAAAAAACCCAAACCTTTAACTTAAATACACTACTTACCATACTTTATTTAAATCGTTTTAAACCCTTTTAAAATATTTAAGATATTATGCATTTCATTAAAAAAACAATTTTTTTGTTACCAATGATAATATTTTTTTCTTTGATTGTTTGATTTTCTCAACTTTATTTAAAGGTTACTTGTTATTGTCACTTTCATTAACAGAAAAAACACACTTAAGGATAATTTATTTGATTGTCTGACTGCACTAAAATAAACTGGCATTCAAGTACATTACACTGTACACTGTACTATTTGTCTTTGAAATAATGCTTACCAAACCATTTCTTTAAAACCGAATTATTCCGATGTTAACAAAAATGAAACAGTTATATACAAAATGTTTGTTTGGAAAGATAATTAAATTAATCGAATAAATATATATACTTTTTTCATAAAAATATTGCAAAAATGTTTTATAAATTGCACGAAAATTTTTCTATGGATGTAAATTTCTTCTTACCAATAAAAAAAATTTATAAATGTTGCATAACACAAAAATAACCAAAAGAAACATTAAATAGGCGATGACATTTTTTAAATAAACAAAACAATTGGCCATGTTCTGCAATTAAATACATCAATCGATATGAAAAACGAAAATTCTTTTTAAAATTCTATTGTAGTGTAAATCAAATAAAAGGCGAACTAAATTGCTTGCAGTGCAAAGGTGTAAATATGAATGAATAAATGCCTGGCGAAAGACTGATCCTGAGGAGGAAAGCAGAACCGCACTCGCGGAATGCTCAATTAAGCCGCTGCCGACGCCACTCGACTGCTCCCTGGGGGTCCTTGGCAGTTCGTCCTGGAGCGGGGTCCTGCAGCGAGTCCTGCGGCAATCATTTCCGCCCGCGCCACCGAATTACGGGAACACGCGCCAGAACAACAGTGCGGGGAACAAGCGTAGCGATTTAGCTAAATAACCTCTCTAATTGAAAGCGGTGGGGGCTGTTGAGTGGGCCTGAATACCTCGGAATGGGTGGCCCACCTCCGGCAGGATGGCTGAGGTCATGCCGTCTGTCGACCGCTGCGTTAAAAGGCAGAAGCAGCGCATAACAGTTACAATTTATGGCCTATTAATGTCCCTCCCGGAGGTAGCAACCGGCGGGGAGTGGGCATTCCAGGGGGCACTTGGAATGCCAGTAGGCTTGGCAAAAAACAATGGGGTGGGGTTGGAGTAGCAAAAAGCCAAAGCAGCGAATGATTGGCAACTGGAGCTGGAATCGCAGTCGATAATGATGCCTTAAACGTTAATATGCTGCCCCACAGTCAAGATTATGGCCCTGTTTACGCATTGGCTTAAGTGCCTTGCGATTGCACTTGCGGCCACTCGAGAGACTAGACAAAAGCCAGAGGAAAATTCACGGAAAACTGCGTGTGGGTGTGGATGTGAGTGGAAAACCAGAATTTGTTTGCACTTCCTGCCAAAGTAGTTTTTCCTATGCGTTCGCATGTGCTTGGCACAACCATATTGATTTGCATACACTGCGGCATTAGCTGTCAACTGAGCCACAACATCCTGCTTAAAGGACACTCCAAGGAAGCGGAAGCGACAGTGTATTATGCAGGAATTATGTATTCATTATTGCGAGTTCTAAGAGATGCCATAAGTCGTTTTAAACCAGTGCGATAACGCAAATATTAAATCATTTATTAAAGTTATTTGGTAATTTATTATATAAAATTTCAATATAACCTATTTAACGTGCTAATTTTAATATGTCATCGTTGACAATAAGTCGTCTAAAACCTACAAAACGGTTGCGATAATATACGAATTTAATTTTTTCCTTAATTTGTTGGTTATTTGAAATAAAATACTGTAATTAGTGTGCAATGTGCCATAATTGTTCGTAACACATTAAATTAAATTATTATAAATTGTATATAAAACATAAAAAGGAATTTTGAAAAATAATATATTCAAGTTCTGAATTTCTATTAAAAAATATCTAAAATCAAAAATTTGTTTAAGACCCACAGAACGATTGCGGTAAAATGACAATTTAATCCTTTATTAAAGTTATGTTATTTCGTAGGTCGAATATTAGATACTCATTTTTTAGCAAGGGAACCTTATTTAGTGATTATCGACGTTTTGTAAGTGTTGGCATATCTTTAAATACATTTTATTTTTACATTTAATAAATAAAATGGATTATTATTAAAGAAAATTTGTAAGCCACTTTAAACAAAAATTAAATGTCTTCAGATTGGCAATCTTTTTTGCCTTAAGGACTTTGATTATTAAAGCAAGGATAAAAGACTAAACTAAAGTAATGTTTAACAATACAAGCAAAGTCTAAAAACGTTCGTTTAGGTAAGTTCCAAAAAGTATTCGTAATGAGCAAATCTAAGCCCTTAACTGCCTGACTTCCATTTGAATTATCACATTTGCCGTAATCCCCGTCAGATTTTATGGTCATGGTGGGCGCCAACATGGACGGTCATCAGTCGGGAATCAACTATTCAAAGCCCAGCAAAAGCAGTGGTATCTAATCTGGAATTTCTGGGAGGTCGCCTGATTAAATGGCCGCCCGCTTGGATTGCCATTGGCCGACTAATTGAGAAGCGTCGGCGGTGGGCCAACCCGTTGCGGGATATGGATATGGACTCCCAAATGATGACTCCCGACTCATGACTCCCGACTCCCGACTTCTACTACTCCTGACTGATTGTCCGAGTGCGGAGTTGGCCGCCTTTTTCCGGCTTAGCTGGACTTAATTTGTGCGCTTGTCGTTGATTGATTGACGCCGCCCAGATGAAAGTTTTAGCGGCTTTACGCCAAATTATAATATATAGCCACCGCGATGATAGAGCACGCATCGAATTTTATGTCCTCGTTGGAAGAGGCCAGGCAAACGTGCCGGGTCAACTTGTAATTGAAATTAACTGAAAATATTTATGGGCCTTGTGGCTGACATTCCACCGAATTTGGTAGTTGACTCGTTCTGCTCCATTATTAATTTGCCAGCCTGTTGCAGAATAATTCATGTGGTGTCAGGAAGCAGCAGCTACAGGATAGCAGGTCCTTGTGCCAACTCCTTCAAGTGCGGCAAACAAATTTTCGCGCCAAAATTAAACAGCTCGCTGCGAATCGAATTTGCCTACTTCACGAGTTTTTCTTACGTCTCGATAAATAGCTAACGCAAATATTTGCCAAAGGATGGCATTTGCCAATAAGTATTTTGTTTAAATAGGTTTCCTACCGGCACCCACGCTCAAGGACTCGTCGCCTGTTGCCACTGAATGGAAATCTTCTCGGGGACATGGACATTAACGAAAATTCGTAAATAAACAAAATATCCGCAAAAGAGTAAATATATTGCTCGTCTCAAGCAGGTTAGCCATGGGTTCCACTTACTCCCACTTCAATTTTGTGGGTTTGTTTGGCGAAGGAGTTCTGCATAATTTGACAATATTTCGCAAATAAATTTACGCTGATGAGCCTTTGGAATTTTCGAGCAGCGGTCTATTTTTAAAAATTTTAAATTTAATATTTGGAGCGAAATTGCTCAATCGCGTCATTGGGTTTTAATGAATAGTTGATAAGGGCTATTGTTAAATTTTTCACAAGGCCGAAGTTCAAAAAAATTAATGGAAATTTAGAAATCATGCATAAAAAAATAAATCCAAAGCAAACTGACTTGAATTCACAGAATTTAGTTTTAGGCACCTACACACATTTAATATTATTCTTAAAGACTATAATACTAGTCATTTTAATATTTTCTTTAATAAATTAGTTCTAATTTTTAGTAACATAAAATTTTTTCCATTAACTGTATATACGATCAATTTAACACAACTTCATTTTTTAAACTAACTCGTATTGATTCAGTAGGCATTTAAATTAAAAAAGAAAATAAATATATATTGTAACTTACTAACAACTTAAAACATGTCCTACTACTTTAGAAATAAATTAAGAACTGTAACACTGTTTTGCTTTAATTTTTTTTATAAAAACCGATTTAAAAATTTACGAAGGACCGCAATAAAAATGGTTTTTACAGGCAAAAGCTTTTGTAATTTGGTAACCACAAGAGTTTATTTTGGAAATTCATTTCCTGGGCCACCAAATCAAATTACGAGCATATTGAATATCGAACCGACCACTCACCTGAGTATATTTCTGTCCGATTTTCGTGTGAGTTATGTTGTGCGACCAGCGGAAACTGCGGCCAAGGTTTTACAATTTTATTTTGAGTTTTTTTTTTTTTGCTCTGTCTTTTATGCAATTTTTTCACATGAAATAGAGTTTATAAGTGAATTTACGGGCACGACTGGAATTCAATTAGCGCTCTCACTTGACCCGTGTGAAACTGATTTCGTGGAGCGATAGAGGGTCGATGGTGAGGGTCCTTGCCAGGATGTGCGCAAACCTGTTGATCAACCGCTAATGATACGCAGACCGGCGCGGCGGTCCCTTATAAATCAAAACGGAAGCGAACCGCCAACCGAACGTCCACGAAGGCTACTTCGTGTGTGGTGTGTGTGTGTATGGTGTGGGTGAGAGTGTGTGGTGTGTGTGAACAGGACTGCCGGCTGCGCACGCACACAATGGCAGGGGGATATCCGCTTGTCGCCGTTTGTGCAACGGAAGTGGCCGAAAAGTGTGTTGCCTACTTAGTGGGGCGAATGTGTGTGTAAGTGAGTGTGGGTGAGTGAGTGAGGGGAAGCCCCTCGTTGAGGGCACACATGCGCGATTGTTTATTTACCCCCTCTTAGTCTTCACCCCCGAATCCCGACTAGCCGACTGCCTATTGTCGATCCCCTGGGGAAACCGAGCCTTGGACTCATTCAAATTCAGGTACACGTTCGCGCCCTCCTTGCGGCATTTAAAATTAAACACTCCACACTTACAATGGAGCAAATGGAACGACTGACGCCATATTGCATATTGCATTTCTTTGTCACCGGGTGGCAATTGACCAGACACAAATACGATTCCCGCCACATCCACCTCCACCTTGCGACACATGCGACTCCGACTCCGAGGACTCCCCGCCAGGTCCTAAACATCCGAACGGGAACCCTTTTAGTGCTTCATGAATATTTATGGCGACACAACACAGCGCCTTCTCTGTTTTGGTGCTAAAAAATGAAGGAAAAAAGAGCTCCTTCAATTACAAGAGTCGCCCCAAAGATGTCAAGTGGGAGTGTGTATCGCTTTCTATGGGGCACATCAACAGGTTTTCATTTGCGGCCATTTGATGGCACGCCGAATAAACGATGATGGGAATATTTATGACACTGCTCTGCCGGTGCGTATAATGAATGGGCCATGAGACCCCGACCCCCTCGCATGTGGCCGCCCTCGCCCACCATCCTGGCGATAAGCTACGTAGTTACTAATTGATTTGGCCACTGATAAATCGCTGTAGACTCTCAACGCCGGTTGACAGCTACATGTGTCCGTTCCCCCGCAACACGGAAAAAATTATAATTGGTTATTGAATTTTTAGTTGGAGAAAAAGAAATCATTAGATAAATCTGTTATTTGTTAAAATAGCTTTCAGATTTAAATAATATTAATGTTTTCATTACATTAATTTTACATTTTAAATGTGTTTATTTAATTTATTTTAATAATACTATAAAAATAACCAATCATGAAATTTTAAGTTTTTATATCATATTTGTTTGTTACTAAAAAATATATTTTATTAAAATGAGTTGTTCTCATTATAAACTAAAAATATTTATATTACTCAAAACCAAAAAAAAATACCTTTTTATATACAAATTTTATAAAGTTAATTATTTATTAAGACAAGGATAATTCTATTAGCAATTCAACCGAAAAGGTATATATTCCAAATGCATTGTAATAAGTTTTGTTGTAAAGATGATTAGTTTTTCTCAGTGCACTCGATGGCAGACGAGTGCAGCAGCAGCAGCAGGAGCAGCAAACGATTGTAAATCATTCCATTTACGTGTCTGGCCTAATTGCAGGCATCCGACGGAGACCTTTGAGCGATCCATTTGGTACGTCACCACTAATGTTTCATTTCCATGGTGACAAAATGAATTAAGTGGGTTCGTCTTCAAGGCGGAACTAGGGCCGCACAATTGAAAAGTGCACCGAAGCCCCGCCCTGACCAAACGCCTTCGCCTTTCTTCCGAACACCACATTTGTATGGGAATCCCCTGGCGCTCTCATTGTGAAGATGATGTAGCTGGCTCTGTTGGCAGCTAATAATAATTTGTTTGCACTTTGCATATGCCATCTGGCCAACAAAGGGCAGGCTCAGACTGCGAGAAAGTCATGGGGAACACAATATCCTGGGGGTCAAGGCAAAACTTAAATATTGTACAAAAGTAACATCAAAGCAAAACTTAAATTATTGTACAAATTCAATGAGACATTTGTTAAAAAACCGCGCCAACTATGTTTTTTTTTAGTAGATGTGTAAATGATTAGAATGTTATTGCCTTTTACTTCTGATGGACATATAAATTTTTTATATTTTCATTTAACGCAGAGCTCCTCAAGAAAAGACATTGCTCCCTTTTTTCCTCATTTTATTCTGATACTAAAACTTTTAGAACTTAACATTTATGAAGTAAGCCAAAAAAAAGGTGTCAAAAATAAAATTCACAATAATTATGTTAATTAATTTGAATGAGCTTAAGTTAATAAAAAAACCCTTCTGAACGGGCTGAACTTGAGACGACCGTACATTGAAGATATATAATTTTGGATATGTTAAACAATTATGATATCAAATTTTGTGAAAAATAAACTATATTTACATTAGGCAAACGAAACATTATATATTTTAAATAAATTGTACTATTTTTAAGGAACATTTTACGGAGTAGACTTAAAAAAAAAAAACTTTAGTATTTTACGTGTTAATTATATCTAATATATGAAACTTAAATTTACCGCCAAAATGCTGTCTGACAAAAGCTGAAAGACATGCCTGTCGGCACATATCTCAGAAACCAGTGGCTTTAAAACTTTTTAGAGATGGAATATTATCGATATTAACGCTCATTTGAATACTATCGATGCGCTTAATATAATCATCTCATCCCTGATTCCTGGGCAAACGAAACAAAAATAATTAAGCCGGCTGACAAAAATAGTAGACCTTTCACCGGGCTGTCATGGTATAAACACTGCAAAATGGAAATAATATTGCCCCAGGAAGCGCACGATGCGAAAAAGTTCCTGGATTGCGCGGAGAAGGTGGACTACGATGAGTTCTCGGCGGTGAGAAATTGCGTCGCGCACTCCCCTTTAACTTGTTTTTAAGGGTAAAATCCATATTTTCAGAAAATGTTTATATTCTGCAACGCCCACAGCGACGTGGATGTATTCGAGCTGATGGGCAACGACCGTCTGTCGCAGTTGATATACGGATGGGAGGTGTGCCACCTGCCCACTCGCGAACCCGAGTCCTTAAAGGATCCCGCACTGCGTCACATCGTCCAGGTTCTGGCGCACCATTCGCTGCAGATGTGGTTCAGCCAGGAGTGGAACACCTGCACCGAGGGCCTCAAGCACCTGCTGCTGTACAGCCTCACCAAGGCGGTGCCAGCGTTCTTCCAGATCCCCGACCTGGCCAAAATTGACTGGGCATACATCCTGCAATTCCAGGCAAAACCCTGGAAAATCGCTTACCTACAGCAGCTGTTTCTCAGCCTGAAACTTAACAAACACCATGCCATAGAACACACGGTGCCTGTGGCAGCGGGAGAAGGTTGGTCATTCTAATTTTCCATCCAAGATTACTCCTAATCCCCGTCTTTTCCTCTAGATATCGCTTTTCTGATGCAGGAAGGCCTCTGCCTAATACTCCTGCGACTCATGCAGCTCTTCAATGCAGGCAACTTTGAGGCTGTAAAACAGCTGTCTCTTCGCATGCTAGCCGCTTGGTTGAAAGCCCACGAAAATGCCCCATTTGAGTCCTTTAAACAGGATCAAAAATCCATTACCCTTGTGGCGCATCTGTACCTCTTGACCATATTCGTAAGAGATGAAAACCGCGGCTATGTAATTGATAATTTGGTGAGAAATTAAAAATACACAACATTTTAAACCTATTTCATCATAAAACATCCCCTCAGATGTACAACATTCGTTTTTATGTCCAGAGCATGCAGGAAGCTTCGGTCTCCCAAGACATTAACTTCACGCCAGCTCGTCTAATTGCCCAGATCTGTGTGCGCCTGCAGCTCGGCAAGAATGGCTTCTTCGAGCAGATTGGTTTCAAGAAATTCAAGCTCAACCTCGTCACCTCTTTTGCCGTCATGCTGGAGGCCTACTCCAGTTATGTACTGGGCAACCTCTTGATGGAGCTCCAGGGCCTCAACGAGCACGATTTCTTGGAGCACTTGCCGCAGTTCAAGGTTCTTATGTATCGCTATGTGGAGGAGCGAGAGAACAGCGAGAGTTTTCTCCTAGAAGAGCTGAAGAAGATGGAGAACCAGCGGAACAGCCACTTTCAACCACAGGTGGTGGAACTTAATCTTAACTACCAGCAGCAGATATGCAAGGGCAATCGGGCCAGTAATATTGGCAACTACAAGAACTGTGACGACGATGAGAAACCACTGCCGGAGGCGGACGAAGAGCAGGACCGACAGATAGATCCAGTGTTTCAAAATGTGCCAAATAACGAGGAGGTTTTAACCTTTGTCTACAAACTGCTGGCCGAGCGGGTAAGTTCAGGGACCTACCGACTACAACAAATTGACTAATAATATTTATTTCAGAACTTTTCCGGCTGGAAGTTTGCCAAGATTGCGCTGCTGCTTAAGATTATTGGCCAGCAACTGAATGCCATAGAAATATGGCGCTACCACCCCGGTCTGACGATTGATTTCATGCTCAATTTGGAACAGAAGATGTCGGCGAACTATGCCGACTTGGCAAAAGTCTTCTCCGACCACGGGTTCATGGAGGCAGAGTTCTGGCTGACTGCTTTCTATCTCCATCCGATGACCTTAAATTACAATGAGGTCAGACGGTGTTCGCGCATTAAGAAAAAGCGCCAGGAGGAGGACAACTGGCCGCCAGCTGCGGCATCTCACGGCGTCAAATACGAGTTGCTTAGTTCCACCATTGATGTCGATGAGATTGTAACCATAACAAACCATAACGCCCCAGTGGCTGACTACGATCCCATTTACAAATCTCTGCAGGCGCTACGGCTTCCCCGCAGCATGATCAAGGATCTTCTGACAGTGGTCTTCCAGCCGCGAAACAAGCGCTACTCCTGGGCTCTGGACTGGCACACGCTGCACGAGCGATGTCACGCTTTGCTTAAAAGCCAGGACCTGAAAAACAAGTTCGTGGCTCTCAACATGGCCGAGGCAGGGGATCACTTGGAGTTTCTGCAGATTGACTATGCCAAGTACAGGGATCGACCGCAGTTGGACTACGGCACCATCGAGGAGGGCTACGAAAATGCGGCAAATCTGCCGGAGCCTGAGGAGGAACCAGAACCGGCACCTGTGGTGGATGAAGAAGATGTAAAATCTACACAGCAGAAAAAGCGGAGACCCGCAAGGCGCAAGTTCTGGGATGAGGGTGAGCAATCTTATCGTTTACTTTATTATTTGTATGAGTAAAGTCTATATATAGTTCATTTTTATATTTGTAGAATATCTATAGTAGTGAATATTATTAATTTAAAATCCCCTTGTAGTGTTCTCGGAAGACGAGGAGGAGGCTGCCTCAAGCGATTCAGAGCCCTACTACACAGGCAATGGCCGCCGGACTAGGATAAGAGCCGCAGCCATGGTGGCCAATGCCATGTTATCCGACATGGATCGCAGTATGCGCGGTGGCCGGCGATCGAGCTCACGAGCCTCATCAGAGACATCAGACCCACAGCCAGACCACGATGCGCAGCCAGTGACCAAAGTCGAATCGCCACAGCCACCGTCCCCAAAAGAATCAGCTGCCAGTGATGAGAAGCGAACGATTGGTGATCTGATGGAGGCACGGACGAAATTTAGCAACGAAACCGGCGGATTCAAAGCCTTCGCCGACATCTGGAGCTTTGAGAAGGAAGAGCTCCAGAACGTGGCCAGCGAGGGCAATAACCTGATGGAGTGCAGCTCAATGCTTAGCAAGTTCAAGAATTTAAAGAACCTTAAGATGACGGCAGCGGCGAAGGAGCCCGTTCAGCCAGATCCACCGCCATTAGCAAGGATAGTTCGCACAGGATCGGAAACTGAGAGTGTGAATTCTGACACCTCAACAATGGCTACGCTCGACTTCAATGAGGATACCTGCGACGATTCCCCTGGTGTAAGTAAAGAGCTAACGCCTTCGCCGCCATCCAAATCAGATTTAACCATGGAGAATGAAGTGTTGCAGCCCGCCGAACAGAGTGAGCCGCAGCTGGTCGAGATGCCCCTGGAAACTAAACAGATGAAGCAGAAGCCCATGGAAAGGGAGCCCGTTAAAACTGGACAGAAGATTGACGACCATGTGGAAACTAGGCAGGTAAAAGATAAGCCCTTCGAAACTGTGCAGCTATTAGGAGAGGCCCATGAAACTAGACAACGAAATGAAGAGGTCCTGAAAACTAGGCAGCTTAAAGAGAAGATCATGGAAACAAGAGAGCTAAAAGAGGTTCCGGAAACTAAACTATTGACAAAAGAGCCAAAACAGGTTACCTCTGAACTCTTAGAAACTGGACAGGTAACCAATCAGCTAGCAGGAAAACATCCAGGAACTAGGCAGCGAAAGGAGGAAATCATTAACCTGGCGCACGTAGAAAAAGTGCAGTTACCGAAAATAGTGCCAACGGCCACAGTTATCGTGGAAAATAAACAACTAACAAGAATAGTAAAAAATAAACAGCTTGCCGGAAAAGTGGGAACGTCTACAGGAACCGACACAGAAACTGACACTGCCGAAGAGACCTTGCGGTATGAACAGGAACCGGAGTGCAAGCGGTTGAAAGTGGACCCAATTGAAGTCGCATTCCATCCGAATCCTTTATTAGGCGAAAGCGCGGAACAAGAGAGGCAACGCCTTATCCACGAGTGTCTGACCCGTCCGGCCCAAGTGTGCTTGAATTTGCTGACACCCCAGGACATTGAGAAGCTACGAGGAGTTCGAGTGCGTATTAAGCGCACTAACTTGGTGGACTACTATCGCGAGCAGACAGGACGCATGCAAAGGAGAATCCTGCTCAATCAGAGCCGCTCCCAAACCGAAGATAGCAATGCATCATCGCTCAGCTACGATGTCCGCAAACATGGAAAGAGGCGCTTCAAGAAGTTTGTTCACATTACATCGGACTCGCCGGCGCCTTCGTCATCGTCCACGCCATCGCCACGCATAATGGAGGCAAAGCCGATATTCAAGCACATAACATCCGACTCGTCCACGGATCTGGAGGATGTGCCGCACGCGGGCTCCACCATGAGGAGACGAGGACGCGGCAGAGGTCGAGGACGAGGCGGTCCACGGTGTAGGACACAACAAATTTCGCGTCGGACACCCTCTTATCCGGCAGATGTAATCGAGCTGTCCTCGGACTCGCTGTCCTCCAGCTCACCGGTGCCAGGAGGCAACCATGCCATGATTCACTTCACCCAGGTGATGGAGATGGACCCGCTGTACGAGGAGGAAATCGTTCCCTTCTAGCACGTTGTTGACAAGTCGACCAGACTTCTGGGCCGCAGGCGAGGCGCTACGTGCTCGGAACGAATGCAGGCGAGGGGTTGCACAGAGGTTGAGCAGAGCGAGAAGATGGAAAGGCAGGGGGAAAATCGAAAAAGGAGCATAGCTGGGAAAATCGAGTTTGTCTCGCTTGTTAGAATGCAATTAGCCCGAGGCACATTCGGTATTTGCTTTGGCTAGCACAGAACCAGGATTCTGATGAAATTATGTACATGTACATCTGTTTGTCCAAGTCCCCGGCTCGGGCATTGTATTTCCGTTTTTATTTGGACTGTGACGACGCCCGCGGGCCGATAAAAAACAACTCTCGTCGAGTCCTGGGCAACGCTCAATGGAAAAAGCAAACGCATCCGCTCTTCAATTAACTAGCTAATTGATATGCATTGTGGTTCTAAAAAACCAAATTAGCTACACGCGTCAGAGGAGCTCTTGAATATGGATGACGACGCTGGCGACACGTGGCTGTTGGTGTGAATTTTGGTGGCAATATATATATCACTAACTAATGGGTTGGGATGGAAAGAATGGGCAGGGAATGATACGCATTAGGATTAGTACTGTTTAAAACATTAATAAATTTACAATTATAATTAAGCATAAACTCTATATTTATCTTAAATGTACTTTCTAAGTTTATATTGTATCAAAATTATTTAATAATGTAAAACCACTTATGTTTCGTTTTTGACTCAAAAATTGTTTAAAATAATAAACAAATAAAAAATCATATTTTTTGATTGTTAAAAAACTTGGCCATAATTAAAAGAATTTTTATTATACATTGGCACCTGGTTTCCGTATCTTATTCCATTAATTGAAACTTAAAATGGAGGCGACACTACAGAACGTGAGGCGAGTCGAAATCTGTCATTCTGTATGTTTATTAACAATTTACTTGTTCTGTTTCTTTGTCTGCAAAGGCAGATTAAGTTTAAAAACCATGACTTAAAAAATAATTTCATATGCAGCTTTGGTGATCAGTTGTATAGCTATCTTGTAGGATCAATATTTCCCAATTACTTTTTATTTTTTAATATTTAATTACTTTTTAGTTGTAATTACCGATTTGTAGATATACATATATGGCAGATACAAACATCTTTTCTAACCCAATTTGATTGCATTTTGGTTAGAAGGGATTTATTTTACACTGCGATTAATGTAATGCTTTCATTATAAGGAAAAATAAGATTAATAATTATTTTGATTGTATTATTACAAAATTTAAGGTCTTATAAAATCTTAAGGACATTAAATATTTGTTCAAGGGGAGCACTTAATTAATGGCCATTAGGCAGCAATCGGTAGTTCATAAATCCGTAATAAAGCATATTATCAAATTAGCCCCCGTGACACCCTCAAGTCCTCGCTCGTGCTGGCAATTTGCGACGATTGCCGCATATCATAATAAATCCGCACGTGGCACCCGTCGGCCACTTGAAACTGCAACTTCGATCTCCTTCAACAGCCTGGCCGCAGATAGGACTTCCTCATCGGCACACTTGGCCACTTCAGCAGCCGTTAAGACCACGGCACGTGCCAACGCCTGGCCTCCGGATCAGGAGGATGGGCAGGAGGAGTAAGAGCTTCTGGCCGACTACACATGTTGCGTTTTCGGAAGTGGCGGCCCGTATCCTGGCCACGTGCCTCTAACCCGTTTAGCGACAGGCGTAAGCCCCAAACGATTATTGTGGTTTAGTGGCGAAAAGCGAAAGAGTTGCGAGTAATTGAATCGTTTGAATAGCAATCGCATTAAGCGCACGTAAGTTCTATGTTGCGATAAAATAAAAATAACATTTATTTGGCCACGAAATCTATATACTCTAAATAGATGTTAGATGTATAAACTTTATAAACTTTAGATGATAAACTTTATCAATAAAAGGTATACCAACATTAACTAAATGTCTGTGCTATAAATAGATATTAATAAAATACTGTTGGTAAAAGCTAAATCTAATTAAATTTAAATGTAATTAATTTTATTTTGTGTTAATATTAGTTATTTTAAATACACCTTAAAAATTAACTGCGTTAAACAATTAGGTTGTATATTTTCGGGGACGTTTTTTAAGGAAAATCTATTCGCAATTCAATTTTTAAAATCAAGTTTTTCATATTTAAAGTTATTACAAAGCTGACATACAGATATACTAGACATTATTTTGTTATTTGTTCAATATTTCATTGTCAAATATTTTAGCTCATAAAAAATGCCTTAGAAAAATCTTTTTTTATTCATTTAAGATTGATTCTTCTAATGAACATTTGCGACCGTTTTGTATGGTAAAAATAGATAAATATAATTTTAAAAAAATTGTTATTCACAGCGAAATACTTTCACTACCACTTGCCTTAACATTAACGTTTGATATTTAAATAACCCCAAGAAAGGGTATGGAAAACAGTTAAGAACTTTGATGATGCCGTCGGCGACATCACTGATCCTCGGACTCAGACATCCTTCCTATTGGCTTAGAGAACGCCGCTCGCCAGCAGAGCGTGAAGAATGCTTGTGTTTTGACTGGTAGCGCTGCCTGCAGAACGAATCTCCATCTCCACGAAGTGCACCCCGCTCCCGTTCCCGCTCCCGTTCCTCTCCCGTTCCTCTCCCTCTCCCTCTCCCGCTCCCGGGATTTCCAGCTAGATGACGTTTGTGTGTGAGTGGGCAAAAGCCACCCCCGGGCGGCAATCACGGCGCATATCTGTTGGGATTTGCGTTCAGGGTTCTATACTTTGTGCTATGGCGCCGCCACGACCGACGACAATGCGCCGAGGGTTGTTACCCGGCCGTCCGGACCCAAATCGGCGGGCTTAATGGCTGGCCGGGAAGGCATAAAACCGGTGCGCAGTCCTCGCCAGCTTTTAGTTGGTGCGGGCACGCGAGACACGAAGAAACGACACACTCTCTCGGAAATCGGAAATGTGCTAAAGGATACACGAGCCGAGATACAGATTCGAGATCATGGCGGCCTGTTATAATGCCTACAGCGCGGGATCGCAGTCCTTCGACTTTGACGAGGACGACGACGACGCCTCCTTCGACAGTGGCTACGAGAAAAGCTTCGAAACGGAGGCCCAGCTGAGTTCCCGCCGGCGCCTGGACTTCGAGGACCGCTATGGCGGCACTCCGCCGAATCCGGCGGTCCAGCTGCCGTACTCCGGCGCCTGGGAGGCCGTACCGCTCAACTCACCGCCGGCGGGATCGGGATCTGGATTCGTCGGCCTGCTGGACACGAGCAGCAATCACAGCACGCGGAGCGGCAGGACACTGGTGGAGCACCTGAACAGTCGGGCCTCGACCAGCACCTTCGATCCACCGCTGACCAGCACGCCGATGAAGTCGCCCGAGGATCCGGATGCGCCGCGACAGAAGCGCAAATATGCCGTCGGCAAGAACAGGGTGACTCGGTCGCGCAGTCCCACCCAGGTGGTGAGGATCAAGCGGTTCCGCCGGATGAAGGCCAATGATCGGGAGCGCAATCGGATGCACAACCTCAACGATGCCCTGGAGAAACTGCGGGTCACACTGCCATCCCTGCCGGAGGAGACGAAGCTGACAAAGATCGAGATCCTGCGTTTTGCCCACAACTACATCTTTGCGTTGGAGCAGGTGCTGGAAAGCGGGGGATCTATCAACCTGGATCTGGAGAAGCTGCAGAACTTCACGCTGAGTGGTGAGAGGATCACAAAGGAGCTGTTCGATGCTCTGTTCGTGAATCCACAACCGTTTCCCATGTTCGGAGGCAGGATGTTTCCCTATGGCCAGGGCCTGGCTCCTCTTGCCCAGAATCAGCCAGCTCCGACCCCACATGCCGAGCATCATGCGTCGATGGGGGGCTTCCAGCAGGGCATGGACTACCCGCAGCCGCAGCCGCCGCCAGGATTCGACTTCACAGGCAGCATGCGGTTCTACCACCAACAGCAGCAGCAGCCATCCCAGCCTCCGCCTCACCATATGCAGCCTAATCCCCAGCAGGAGTCCAGCCCGCAGCAGTTCTCGCAGGAGAAATACGATCTCTTCAGGGGCTCCTTTGAGGCAGCTGCCAATCTCCAGCCTGCCAGCATGGATTCTGGGATTCACCAGCAGAGCAGCTTCTACACGCAGACGCCGCCGTGGAAGGACTATCCGGAGGATCAGACACATCCGCAGGCCATTCCACATCCACACTCCTACAAACAGTTCGCCCCGCAGGTGTAGCACAGTTTTGGGGGCCAAAACTGCTATCTTAGGTTTTTCAGCGTGATATATTTAAAGATTGCATCGATTTGCAGGAAACTGATTTAAAGAAATCCTCAAAAGATGCCCCCTAACTTACTTTGAAAATAAATTAAAGTAACTTAGGGGACTCATCTTATGATTTCCTTACTTTACTTTCCTCGAATTCCGTTGTAATCCGTTGATATTGGTAGTAAGTGAGACAATAATTGACTGCTTAGATTATCCTTATATTTGGAACTTACAAAACATACAGTTCCAAACTCAAACTAATCTTTGAAGTCAATTGTTATGTTATAGAGAGATCTCCAAAAGATGAAGCAATGCTTTTTTATAAAAAACAAACACAATTTATATTTAAGTTATACAAAGTCAATAATTTTAGATTTGCATTGGTTTCTTTTTTGCGGATCTCTAGTGAATATTTGAATTAAGATTGCTTAATTGGAACATTTCCAAAGTAGCACTCTTCTTCTCAACATATTCCTTGACTATTTGAATATATAGTACAAATCGGTTGTCCATTTAGTGTAAGCGGATACGTACCTTGCCATCGTAGACTTAAGCCTATTATTAAGCACTGAAATGTACCAGGTATTAGCTATAATGAAATGCACAATCGATTAAGTATATGTAGGTTATGCCAGAGTCTATATCAGTTATTGCAGTGCAAGAAAAGCGAGCTAGTCAGGGCCACAACTTTAAAGTGATAAGATTGAATTTCGATGTAAAGCCATAAAGATTTATTTTTGCAAATAAAGTTGACGATCAAAACGAGCCAGAAAATTGATGGTAAATGGGAAGAATGGACGAACTCCTGGGCAAAGTCAAAAATAGTAGCCAAAGCAAACAACCCTGGAATCAGTACGGTTCTGTGCGGATTTGAGATCCCAAACAAAGGACTTAAATTCAAATAAATATTGTATATTGCAGTGCACATAAAACGAATGGCTTTGTGTGTGTGCACTGCAGCTTGTTTTTATCGTAGGGGGCATTTTTCGCCCTTAGAATTCGACATGGGGTGAGTTCAAGTAGAAACTGAACTCCGTACTCCCGGGTTCGGCCTTCGAACAATGGAAGATTGCCCGTCACCTGCCACACAATTACAAAACGAATGTACCAACAGCAAAACCAGCAGCAGCAGTCAGGACCGACAATCCTGAAACATGAGCTGTGAGCCAGTGGACCTGCATGAATGCCACTCAAATTATTTAGTTGAATGAACCGGCAAGAGGCGAGGGAAACTGCCTTACTGCCTAACTGACTGACTGACATTTTCCGTTACGAGGCAAGGGTGAAAAGGTGTGGAAGATGCTGCAAAGTCGGTAGAGAATTCCCCATCTCTACCTTAGGATTACACTAAGATTTTCCTATTTATATCTAGAGGCTGACATTTTAAAAAGGAATCACAGCGAAGGGAGCTTTAAAATTGTTTCAAAGAACTTATATACCTGTTTTAACGATTTTAAGAGGCGATAGTTTTTATAAATGTCCTTTTTTATCAAAACGAAAAGGGATTAATAAACAAGTTAAGATAACGCGTTTTAAAAATTTTACTGTCATTATAAAAATAACTAAAGATGCAACCTTATTTTACAAGACTTAAGTAGTGGAACCATGCGTAGAGAAAAACTGAGTTTTAAAAAATTTATATAAGGTAAATTTTTTTATTTTTTAATTGATTCGACCTGGTGTTTCCACCAAAAGCATATACCAGTTATCTTTGTGTACTTAATACATAGTGCTCTATCTCTTTTATGAAATAGTCTTTTGATATTAATATAATTTTTTATTGACACTCCAAATTTTAATAAAATTTCTCCCGTGGGCGTTAAAAACTCTTGATAACTCTCCTTTTTTCGGGTAGCAGCAAATTCCAGCTAGCTAATTTTTGGGGTTATAAGTAGGACTTCGCTTTTATTTCCACAAACTAAGCCGGCGTTTGTCATTTGAGCAGCTTTGTTGGAGGTGTCGGGATTTATCTTTACAATAATCATTATTATGGACCGGCATGGGTCCGGCATTCCCTTGTCCCGTTGTGTGGCAAAGGCGCAAATACGCAGCGGGTGAGCCAGCTAAGCTGCATTCAATTTCCAGGACTCTCGTCGGGGGATGCGGACGAAACCTGGTACGGGCTGGCATCATTATCATTAGCGGACGGGGTGGCTCCGTTTCGATGGCTATCGGCGGATCAATGACGACATCTCCGCCTCAGTTCCCCTCCACTCCCCGAATGCTAATGCACTGCGCTGCGATGCTGGAAAAACAATTTGGCGATGGCCATAAGGCGATAAGCAAACCAAAATGGAAACAAATTGCCATGGACATGCTAAAAGGCGCAAACACAATGGCATCTTCGGCTTCGAGTGCGGCAAGTGCAGGTCCTTGGAGAGCGATTCATATGCGGTCCGATGAGACTGCACAAAGGAGCTGGGTCGGCTAATGGAGGAGGGTTCGACTCGCTGATACCCAAACTGATTCAATTCTCTATAGATATTCAGGGATTAGTCAGCGTAGATAAAAACACAAGTGACCAGGAGAAATACTTTCTTATCGAATCAAATATTGATAGTCCCTTACTTACTTTGAAGTTTTCTTTGTTAACGAAATAAAAGAGACTATCTTTATTTTGTACTTATACTACGGAATAATATACTTATATTTCCTTACTTCCTTTGAATTTTATTTTCCCAGAACATGTTTGCATTCTTTAAGTGAATAACAAGAAAATCAATGATGAAATTCTTGTTTCAGGGACTGAAAATAATAGTTGAGTGTCCCTTCTTTCTGTAAAGGACTATACACAAGATTAATTGGTAAAGATTTTAATGAAAATCACAGTAGTGCTGCATCTGTTTCCAGTAAAAATGGTAAAACTTTATAAAACATATTTTAAAAATTCAATTAAATCCTCATTTCAAAACAACACAGAATCAGTACAAAAACTCCTGGTTCAGGTTATTTAATAAATATTTTCTACAATCTTTTGGGTATTTACAAATGTGGGTTAAAAGGTTGAAAATGCATATGGAAAATAAAATCAGAGTTCACGTTCACCCCTAGCATTGGCAGGCATGAAATATTAAGATCATATATCACACCGTTCCAGACAACACTGCACCAATTTGTCCTTGCCCTTTTTGCGATTCCCATTTCGCAAATCGAATTTTATTTGCCGAATTGATTGTTTTACGCCTTTTTAGCAAGAAGTTGGCACACATTTTTTAACCCTTTGCTGGTGCACGTGGGTTTCGCAGTACCCGGCGCTATTGTTTATTACCCCTTTGGTCCTGATCAAACATTCGCGGCAGAGATTCGCTTTGGTGCTGCAGCTACACGTTCGCTTTTTAGCGGCAAGTTGCTCGACCTTTTTGCCCATTCATTGCCCTGCTCGAATTGGTTTATCTGTGAAATCGCTGACGGGATCTGGTTGTTGTTTTCTGAGCCTTCCGGGGTGTGCATCCTCGTATACGTTACTGTTCCAAATAAAAAAGCAAGGGAAAGATGCGATGTGTGCCCTACCTTTGTCGCTTTCGAGTTGTGTGCTCATCTAACCGAAAAACATTGGATAAACAAACAGCCGCTCGAGTATTTTGTTACACTTAGTACCCGAACCCCGGACGGGACCTATTTATTTCTCTATATATTTCAGAGTCCATGGAAAGAAGCCAATCTGTCGCATTTGTGTGCAGTGGTCGTGGTCCCTCGACTGAAACTGTAAAATGTTATGCAAGCCCGGATTTTTAATCCGATCAGAGCGGTTTTAGTCAAATTTAAGCAGATTTGTGTCACATTGTTGAGCCAAAAAGTGGTACGCTGTAAAGGAAAACAAAGCGAAAATGTTAACACATGTAAATCAAGAATCAGATAACTATATCGTGCATGCTCCTCTATTAGGCGAATCGAATTGAGATCATGTTCATGCCCACGACCGATAAGACCAGAAAATTCGATTAAGGTTGCGGAAAATCAAATGAATTGATGTTTCAGGACTTTGGGGACTTCTTGTTTAAGTATTTAGACATATGTAAAAATGAAAATAGAAAGTTTCAGAATCATAGTGAGATCAGATTGTTAATATAATAACAATTGTGAGGAGAAATATGTTTTGTTTTAGAATTGTATTTAGTGTACTTTATTTTAAGCGAGAATGGTAGTAACTTTGTCAAGCTAAAGTTTTCATAGCCTTGTATCCGAGAATTGATAGCAGTGTGGACGGCGTGAAAACACAGCTATGTGATATAGTCAACACATGGAACAAATTTGTTCATGGCTCAAAGAACAGAAAAATGAACGGAACGGAAACGGAAAACAATTATGAAAAGTTGGTAGGTCATATATCGTTTAATTCGTTATAAAATTACCAATCGATTGACATTCATAGCTCAAAAATTGAATTTTTGGTAACTTTTTCCAAAAAAAAAAAAGAATATTTATGTAAAACAAAATATTTATGTAAAAAAAAAATATTTTCATATCAACCTAGTTTAGGTCCGCAGCTCCAAAAAACATGACACTTCACGAATAAACTGCTTAGAACCATACGCCTTAGTTAATGTCTTCCTGCAATGTTAGTTACTTAATACCCTTATAATACCGTCTTTAAAAAAAACAGCATCAAATGGAACATATTAGAAAAAAGATTAGAAAAAGACCTTTTAAAGGAAAATATCTACTGTGTTACAGTCTCAACTCGTGCGTTTTATTTACTTCCTTGAAAAGTAAATAAAGTTTTAGTTTCTTTGAAGAAAACAAATGGCTATACACATGAATGATTATTAAACGAATTATTTCGAATCAGTTATTTGAAAAGCTAAGCAATTTTCCAACCCCATATTAGAATAATTTTTGTATTCCAGTCACATTCTGTGACTATACCAAAAAAAAAACGCATTTCAAATATATTCTTTTTCCAAATGAATAAACTGTTAGACAAACAATACATTAAACTTTACAACTTCACACCCGCTGCCAGTGTACGCGAAATATTAACATTGGAGTAAGCACCCTTTGCACAGCTGAAAATGGAAAAATCCTGGCAGCAAGGAGTGGTAGATGCTAGCTGTACCACAAACGATGAGTTGATTGTTATGCAAATGAGCTTGGCCGGCAACCAGCGACCAGGACGAAATGTGAGAGCCCAACCCCAGATTTCGACTCGGATCCGGGTGCAGTTCATCAAGTGGTCATAAATTTATAGGTAGTTTGCATAGAGCTACGAGAACGCGAGAAGCTGCCTAATTACTATGCAGCGCCATGTGCATAATGAAGCTGACATTTCTAATTTATGGTTGATATTTGTTAATTCTTTTTTTTTCGTTGGGCATAAATTGAATCGGAAGGTTGGCACTAAAATGTAGGGAAAACAACGGTTTCATGCCCAGTTATTGTTAAATGTAAACAACGGACACGGCACGAGCGATTTAATGGGGGTTACGGAGGAGGAATCCTTTCGTTGATCCTAAGCTGACGCTTCCTGGTAATTCCACTTCCGGCTTAGAGCAAAAATTCGCGCGAAAATCCCGCGGTAATTCCAACATTGTGCGGACTTCCACACAATGGAAGAAAAGGGAAAATTCGGAAAAAATTGCGGAAAATCTTTGCAAAAAAAATTGCGAAAATTACCCCAAAATATAAATGGGAAGCCGAACTAGTAGTTAACTGCAATTACGCAACCCCTAAGTCCTTTTTTATTGCCCTGCCACCTCGGCAAGCGACCGTTATGATTCGTAGCCCTGCTTTTCACTTTTTGGTATGCACGCAGGGCTTTTGACTATTTGTTGCTCAATCAGGGGAAGAAGGAGGGCTTAAACCAAAGGAAATGGCCGGGCTCAGTCATTAATTGTCGGCATTGTTTGTCGGATTGTCAGCTGGACATCTGGCTAACTGTCTGACGCCCGACACTAGCTGTCAGGGAACTGAATCTGGGGTACAAAGTTAATTTGTAGACACCTGCATAAAGGCGTTATATGTGTAGTGAAAATAAAACGTCACGAAACACAGTTGTGTGAATCAGATAAAATCGGAAGTTATGTTTTAAATGTCCCTAATATACCTATTAATGTTCAAAAGATTTGATCTATACATTTTCAAATATTTCATTTGAATGAAAGTACTGAAGCAATTTCTTTTTATAATATGTATATATTATAAAAGGTTATAAGGTTATTAATCTCACTTGGCATAAGTTGGCAGAAGTGTATGTAACTTAACATATTTTTGAACTAATTAATTTCTTAATATCTTTATTTTTTATTCATATGGGGAAGTACAAATATTTGATTCCAAAAATCGTTTATATAGAAAACGTTCCCCACTTGCACGTTAAGCTCTTGGCGCCCCGAAAATATAATCTATCCAGTGGTATTAATTGGCGATTACCGGAACTTTAGGTCATGATGGTTGGCGCCATGGACGAATTCCCAACGAGCCGCTTTGACACTCGAATTTGTAGTGTGATTTATGAGGATGACACTGCCATCATCAATCACTGTTCAAGTGGAAGGTGATTTAGCGAAACACAAAAAATCTGAGACTGCAAGGGAACTGCAATCCAGGTTAGTCAGGCTTTATGTAAATTTCAGAGACTTTCGCTAGTAAAGGGAAACAAGTTTAATTACACACCATCTCTGGGGAGGGGGTTGAGCAACCCCCAAAGGTTTAGTTGAGTTGAGTTGACCCGGGCAGCACTTGATTCGCTGTCTTGTGTTGTTGATGTTGTTTCGCTTTAAAAAGTTATGAAAATAAGTCGATGGAGAGTGCCAGCAACCCCCGAGTTCATCTTGCACCCTTTGATTTTGGGCAAGGATCGGGGATCGGGGCAGGACCAGCATCATCCCCTGTTTTCCCGCCCGTTCTCTCGTTCGTTGCCAGGGGCTAATGAGCGCCGCACATTAGTTTTAACAACATTTATTATTTATGGGTTTTTCCCTCCCCCTGCCCCGCTCACCCTCATTGCATCTACATGCCCCTCTCCCCCTCTGCCTTAAATATTTACTTTGAACGTTACATTTTCACTTGCCTGCATAGTGACGCAGTACCCAAAATGAACTCAAAATGGGAATTTGCAATTACTCTAAGCACGGCAAGTTTAATTGGAATTTGGAAACCGAAGCTACTCGTTAACAACTTGAGTCTGAATCTGATGCCACTTAAAAAGGCCTGAAAAGGATAAAAGGATAATGTGAAATCATGGTTCGCAGAAATGAATTTACTTTAAGAACCATTGAAGAAAAGTATAATACAAAAAAATATAAGCGTTTCAGTTTTTAGAATTTCAAAAATTTCTATATTTTCTATATTTATATTTCTTTTTTATACTATTAACAAGTCTTTAACTTTCTTTGCTTAATTCTATTGTTAGTCAATACCACCTCCGAGAAGATGTACATATGTTCTCATAATCAGGCTTATTTAATTTTTAGATTAAGAAAATATTATAAGAAACACATTTGTTATCAGTTTTTAAAACATATTTATAATTTTATAGTTTTTCTACTAAAGGTATCAACATCCATATTAAGGGTACCAAAGATCTTTAAAGTTTTCGAATTTTAACATGATCTAGTTTTCTAAATAAAAGGGCTGTGAACTTTGGTTAATAGTTAAGTAACAAATCTTTTAACCGAACAATTTTTTTCATAAGAGTGTTATCCTAAAAAAATATATATTTTCTGTATATATATATTTTCTTTATAATTATATCATCTAAAAGTATATTTTCTCAATTTCAAAACCAAATTATTGTGCTAAAAAATCAATAAATACCAGCTTTAACTGATCGGACCCACTTTCAGTGCCCACACCTTCCTGGATTTCAGGCCATTAGTGGGGATACGTTTCATTTGCATATCACTTCACACGTTCGCCTTTAAACCCATCGCCAACGCGTCGGGAAAAATGAGTAAATGCTCGCGTTTTGTTTTTCACATTTTTGTAGTTAATAGAATTTATTTGCACACATGTTCACATTGGACAAACTACTTAGTCGTATATAAATATATTTGCTTAATAGCGAAAGCATATGCATTGTGTTTGAAAACGGGAAACTCATTTTCGGTCGACACGCACATGGCCTGACTTTGACTTCTGGTCGAGGATTGGATTATGGAGCTGGAATTGGGCTGCCTTTGTGGCAATATTTATTCTGCACTTGTTCGACATGTCGAAGGTAAATAGACGATAAGATAAATATATAAAAATAAATGCATTCCAGACCTGCCAAAGTACGAATGAAAACCCGCGAAATCGGTCCGGGAAACCAGCACTTCAGCACAAATGACACAAAGAACTGACTCGACTTAGGCTATCATTTCAATTGGATAATCGCTACGCTTTTTACACCACTATATATATATATAGATACATTAAAATTAACCTAGGCTAAATGGTGCTACAAGTACATACTAGATCACGCGCATAGTATGCTTAAGCTTATGGTATATGGACTGATTTGGCATTCTACCGTCTACCAATTTCTGCTAGAAAAAAGTCCCGGTTCGCAGTTGCCAAGCGGAGATCCAGAGTTGAGGATCTCCGCTGGTGCAAAGGGGTCTTGAGTCTTGGGCACTAGTCTACTTGGTTGGTGGTCAGTGGTTGAACCTGGACCCTCCCGTGCAGAAGATGAGCTGCGGCTACAGGGGCCCGTAAATGGGTTCGGAGTAGAGCACTGCGGGCATGGAGTAGCTGTAGGAGGTGGGTGTGTGCTCCGTGGGAGTTCGCAGACTCGCCTGCAGACTCCGCTTGCTGTGACGTTTCAGCCTGAAAAGGGATAATAAGGAATTGGGGTCAATTTAATTTCTCCTTAATCGTTTAACTCCACTCACTTCTTCTTTAAACAGCAGGCTGTGCATAGGGAAATCAAGGCAGCCAGGCCGATGAGGGCGGCCAGGAACACCAGCCACGCCCCCGCCGAGGTGAGCATACCCGCGAAGAGGGCCGCAGTATGAGTCCTCCTCACCGAACAGGACTCCACCTCACTAACTCCATAGGCTGCATAAATGTCTATAAGCTCCTGCCGCAACTGCTGCGAGTTCATCAGCTTCTGCATCTCATTATAGGACAAGGCTGCTCCATTTTTGAACATTTGAAAACAGGAACTGGTGGCAGTGAAGTCCAGACTCATGTCGGGTCGTGTAAACACCTGGGTATCCAGGACATGCAGCTCCAATCCCAGGGGTTTCAGCTTTTTCTGGAGCTGCTCCTGGAAGGGCCGAATGTTGTGCTGGATTTCGTTGGGAGGTCGGGCAAAGACGAACTTCAGCAAGGACTTGTCACGAATCACGAACACCTTGAGATTACTGTGGGCTTGACGTCTGGGCTCCACGGAATTATTGGCCATCACCCGCATCAGGAAGTAACCATCCACGTAGTCGGCAAAGGACCCTCCAGTTCGCAGTTCACCAGTTCGATTGTTTAGGGTAAAGAGATTCTGAAGATTGCCAACGGCCAGACTGCGACTCCTCTTATAAAACTGTGGCACAAAGGTCACGTTCTCAATGGAGAGACCAATTGCTGGTGCCTCGGCATCTGCATCACTAGCCTTTAAAGTGGTCACTACTGTATCGATGGGCACATTTATCCTGATACCCACAGTGGGATCTGGCTGCTCGAATTGCGGCAGATTGTCGTCGATGTCCAGAACTCGAATGGTAATTCTCAAGTGTGAGGGATCTCTACGATCATAGGGATCTCCAACAAACTTGTAGCCAGGTTCGCCCAGTTTCAGGCACTTGACCGTCAGTGTAAAGGACTCAACCTGCTCCCGATCGATGGGCTTTTGGGTCTTGAGAATGGCCAGGCTCTCGTTAGTCCTCTCGACCGTAAACAACTGCTCGTTGTTTCCATCAATGATCACATAATCAATGGCCGCGTTCTCGCCCAGATCTTCGTCCAAGGCGCTGAAGTTGCCCACAATTGAGCCAGCGGGTTCCTCTTCTCTCACCGACATGCTCAGGGGTCCTTCGTCCTTTAAAAATAAAAGTATTTGTTACAATTCATTCATTTTCATTTTGAAACTCTGTTTCTCTACTCACAACTTCCCGGGCAAAACGAGGCTCGTGATCGTCCACATCTAGAACTGCTATCTGCAGAATTCGGGTCACCGACTGCTTGGGTTGTCCATTGTCGCTCACTTCGAGCAAGATCCTGTAAATGTTCTTCGTCTCTCGGTCTAGAGACTGCTTGGTGGTTATTAGTCCCGTGTGGGCGTCTATGATGAAGGCTTCTGCATCTCCAGTATCTGGCAAAATGCGATAAGTAATGGTTCCAGAGGGGGTATTTTCATCATCCGGATCGCTGGCAATCACTTGAAATACAGGAGCTCCAATAGCAGCGTTCTAAAATTATACGATTTTAACACAATATTTTAATGGTAGGTATTTATTAGTATATCACCTCAGTAACATTGGCCATTTGTCCAACCCGAGGAGCCACAAAGTATGGCACTCCGTCGTTGGCGCTCACATCACCTATGAATATCCGGACATCGGTGTCGGTGGATAGGGTAGGCTGCTTGGGCAGCTGGTTGCCATTATCCTGAGCTCGAATAATGAGTACATAGGGTTCGGCCCGACCCTTACCCGTAAGATTACGACGGGTGGATATCAGACCACTCTTGGAATCGACCTTGAAGAGTCCATTGGCCTCCCCCTCGTTGACCAGTTCGTAGCGCACTTCGCCGCCCAGACCCTCGTCCGCATCCACAGCCTCCAGTTGAAGAACAAAAGAGTCGATTTGGGCATTTTCCGGAATCACGGTGCTGTACTTCTTTTGCGTGAACTCCGGTGCATTGTCATTCACGTCTAACACATCGATCTGCAGCTCCACAACACTCTGTTTGGCATCGGTGGGCCGTCCGGGCGAGTCCTCCGCCTTGATTTGTAACTGAATCCTGGGGGTGCGCTCTCTATCGATGACCTGTCCGCTGGCTACGATTATTTCACCAGTTGTGTTGTTGATCTCGAAGAGCATAGCATGCTCGCCCTGCAGCGAGTAGATGATCTTGTGGTAGCCCAAGCGCTCATCCCTTGCATTGAGTACTGCATCCTTGTCCAAAGCTCTCACTCGGATCACTCGCTCCGGATGAGGTCTGTTCTCGATGATCGTGGCTCGATAGGAACTCTGCTCGAAGCGTGGACTATTGTCGTTCACATTCTCCACGGTAATATTTACCCGGCTGACAGTGCTCCTTTGACGATCGGCGGTATTGGCCCGCACTTGCAGTTCAAACTCGGGACCAGTTTCACCCAGAGCCTCGTAGTCCAGTCGCCTCTTTAGGATCACCTCGCCAGTGCGCTCGGCCACCTGAAAGTAGTCCACTTGTTTGGGTTCCACCAACTCGAAACTAGTGATAGGCTGCCGGGTCACTGGATCTTCGGCCTGGAGGATAAACAGTGCACTGTCGATGGGCATCTCCTCCTTGATCTTCATATCGATCACCGGTCGGGAGCTACTCCAGCCGGGGTTCTTGAACACAGGATTGGTGTCCTGGAAGGACTGCACATACACAGTCACCTCGGTGGAATCCACTTGTCCGTCGGGATCCACCTCCGCATTGAGATCCCGCACTCCAACGGTGAAAATGATAATAGCAGCCACATCGTGACGAAGGGAACCATTGACGAAGATCTCGCCAGATTGACTGTCCACCCGGAAGGCCTCCTGCAGTCGGTAATTGCTCCGATTGGCTATGTTCACGCCCGCCTTGGTGGTGGCAGTAATGGGACCCACCAATCCGTACTCCAATTTCGAATTGAGGTCCTTGTCGATGGCCTTCACCCGAAGGACACTCTCACCCACGGCTGTTCGCTCGGAAACGTAGGCCGCATAGCTATTCTGCTCAAACTTGGGACGCTCATCATTGATGTCCTTCACATTCACATAAACCGTAGTGGTGGCCGTTTCCGGAATAGGCGTTCCCGAGTCCACGGCATTCACTATGATCTCAAAACTGTTCATATTCGAGTCCCGATCGATGCGGGCTTGCGGGGAAACTGTTATCAAGCCGGAACTGTTAAACAAAAGATATTATATAGTTAAGTCTTCTAAACATAGTAATAATACTCACAGCTCATCAATCTCAAAATTGTCGTTGGCTCCCACAATCCTGTACCGAAGCAGGCTGTCTAGACCATCCGGATCGTGGGCAGATACCGAAGTGACATTCGATCCTGCAACTGCGTTCTCGGGTATGGAAACTCGATAGCTAGGTGGGCCTATAACCGGCAAGTTCTCCATATTCTGGAAGTGTCCGCGGAAAATGGGCCGTTGATTTCCAGAGATCCCAACCCGTACCAAAACGCGAGTGGTGTTTGACAGAGGAGGAATGCCTAAAATAAATTAAATAGTTAGTGGTATATTCATATTAAATACTATGCATCTAACTCACCGAAATCTGTTGCCGAAATCACTAGTTCGTATTCGCCACGTTCCGTGTCCATAGATCGCGCCGCCTTCTGGATGACAATCTCGCCCGTATCCGGCTCGATTCGGAATACATTACCAGCTATGCTGTTTTCGGATACAATGGCATACTTGACCCTACCATTTCCTTGGGTGGGACCATCTGCATCGTGGGCACGGACAAAGAACTGGGGCTCGAAAAGGGCCGCACCTTCGCGGATGGTGCGACTATACTCCTTGCTTTCGAAGTTCGGATGGTTGTCGTTCACGTCGGTGACCCCGATGAAGAGATTGGCATTGGCCTCGCGTTGACCTCCATCGATGGCCACCACAGTGAGGCTGAAGCTGCTCTGCTTCTCGTAGTCCAGGGGCTTAAGCAAGTAAAGACCTCCGGTTTCCGGATCCACATAGAAGTTGTCCGCTCCGAAGCCCTTAAGAACGTAGCGAACATGCCCGAATTCTTCTGAATCCGCATCGGTGGCCTTCACATGGCCTATCAACGCATCCACGGGAAGATTCTCAGCTGCCGTAAAACGGTAAGTGGCTTGATCAAATACTGGGGCATTATCATTAGCATCCAGAAGATGGATCTCTACCCGGGACTTGGCCTTCTCCACGCCCTTGACCGAAGCCACCAGATCGAACTCAAATTTCCGGAGGTCTGGATCTGGAACATCGTAGTCCAAGCGACTGGCATTTAGCACCTTGACAACCACTGGTGTTCGACCTTGAGCTTCGGTGGGTGATACTGCAAAAACTCCGGCTGCATTGGCCACATCCCTTAAAGAGAGCTCATAGCGACTGTTCTCGCCCATGTCGCGATCATCCACAAATATCGAAAGTCCCGGCAGGGGCATTCCAGTTGCCAGGTTCTCCGTAATAGAAACATTGAAGTGCGATCCGCTAAAAGTGGGCTGGTGATCGTCTACATCGGTGACCACAATAGTTACTCGAGTTAGCGAGTGTTCGGCAGGAATGGCTCCATCGATCAGTTCGGTGGCTCTTATGGAAAACACATACACTCCGCCATTTTGCAGAATCTCGGCGTTTTCGCGATCCAGGGGTTCGGCGGTGGTCTGCAGCACGGCGGTTCCCTCACGGGGATCTCCGAACGGAACCAGCTCAAAATGCCCAAAGGGTTCGTCCTCCAAGGACAGGAATATATCCCTGGGTATACCCACATCACCATCAATTGCCTTGACTGTCAGTATGCTCACTCCGGCGGGTGTGTTTTCCGGAACTGTGGCGGAGTACGGGGCATTGGTGAAGACTGGCGGCTGATCCTGGATATCGAGTACATTGATAGAGATGGTGGCCAGCGAGGAGAGGCGATTATCCAGAGCACTGTCAGAGGCCGAGATGGTCAATATGTACGAGGGGCGACTCTCGAAATCCAGTGGCTGCTTTAGTGCCACTCGAGCTGTGTAGTTTCCGTCCGAGATTTTCACTGCCCGCACCTCGAAGATGTCGCAAATGTCATTTTCCTAGGAAAGAAATGAAAATAGTTTAATTAGTATAAAAGTCTCTATTCCTTGGACCATTTTATTTATGCCTGAATGATAACTTACCTCGACACACTTCATCTGAACCTCTGCGTTGATGCCTTCATCCCGGTCGACGACCACTATAGGTGGCTCCACGGTTAGTTCCGCTCCCACAGGAAGGGATTCGCTAACGCTGGCGGTGTAGGGTCTACCCAGGAAAGTCGGCTGGTTGTCATTGTAATCCCGCACAGGAATCTCCCGCCGCTGGGAGACGGTATTGGGCTCAGTGCCGTAGATGCCTTCGTCCGTGATGCTGATGATCACCTCGACGGTGTCCTGGGTCTCCCGATCCAGCTCCTGTCGCAGGCGCACCACTCCCGTCTCCCGGTCCACGGAGAAAACTGGTCCACTAATACTGTACTTCAAGCGACCGCCTTCTGGATCGGTGCCTGCAATGGAAAGAAATACAAATTAATTAAAGATGATACGCCAAATATAAATACATATATTTCAAATCTATAATAACTTTTTAATTTAAACTAAGAGAGAAGTGTAAATGTGTACCTTTTTATCTAGTTACCAACTATTATAAAAGCCATTTTTATCTTTTAAGTCAGTAAAAACTAGAGCAAGAAATTATCGATAAATTTAAGTGTTGTACTACTTTTTCTCTTTACTTATCACGGTCTTAAGGAGACTCCAAAATAAGTTTTATAAATGACTTCTTAATCATACAATATTTTAAGTTCTGGGTTCTTGAGCCCACAACCCAGGTGGATTGACTACTGAATTATACATATAACGAAATAAGTATAGCCTGGGAAAATGCATGACAAACAAAATTTCTTTTTATCAAATGAATACAGCATTCCTTCTCTGTTAAATCAAGTTACATTCATTAATTAAAATATATCATCATGTTTTAAACTATAACAATAAAATATGAATAAGTTTTTCAGAGTGTGGGTGGCGTGTGTTTGCCAGCCGGAAAAAGTGCAACAAATTAGTTGGCGACGGTTTGTTGGTTTGTCGGTGGGCCCGGTGTTTGACACGCTCACTGCTTTAATTACGAGTAATCCGAGCCAGCGTCATAGGCTGTCACTTCGTAGAAGTCGTTCAGTAGAGCCGCCGACGCCTCTGGTTTATGTAAAAGCGTGTGAAAAATGCTAATTCGGTTCCCACAACCTCCGTCACCGCCGACTTTTCCACTCCAGTGCGGTTTTCCGGCCACTCGGAACTGGGGCAACTAGTTAGTTGTAGGCCCAAGTCTCACCCTAAGTGGATTGTGTCATTCCCCCGGCATTTTCTCTTTCTCTATGCCCCCAGTCTAATAACAGGAAATATATCTAAAAGTATTTGACTCGGGCAGCCAAAAAATTCCAGCTCGGGGGCAACACGAAATTACTTTAGAAATTCTACCAAAGCAATCATGGAGAAAAGAAAGAAAACAAATGAACCCGAAGAGCTTACAAAAGAAAACAGAGACCAATAAGCGGTCGGGAAAACAGCTTTTGGCAGACAAATTTTTCAAGTTTGCAGTTGGGGAATAGTTGGGAGCGGGTCTGTGGTACACCGACAATTGCAGCAGCACGACCACAAAATAAAAACACGGCTCAAAGCGGGAAGCAAACAGGCACAGCCGCTCCTCCAGCTTAAAACCCAAACATACCGATATCATTTCCCTGTCCCCTACGTTTATACCTCCATCCCAATCCCAATCCCATTGCATTGGCGCGTGAGTGACCATTTTACCTTTTCAATGTACATAATCATTTTTTGGGGCTTACGCTTATTCATACCGCCCAATCGTGAGGTGTTTGCTGTTCTTTCGAATAGTTTAAAATACTGTATCGTTAGTTCATGTATTAATCAAATGAAAAAAACATGTCATTTACTATTATTTATTTTTTGTTAAATCTAAACAAAAAGCCTTTGTCAAACTTCAATCCTTTAAATTATATTAAGTCCGAATTCTATCTTTAAAATTGACAAGTCCAAATGCTTGAATAGTGGAAAATATTTTTGTTCAATAACTAAAATAACAATTAATATGAAATGTTTAAAGTTTACTTTACTAAAATAACAATTAAGATCAAATGTTTAATATTTAATTTAAGACATTTTGATGCGTTTTGATTTATTTTTTATTTTCTCTTAAAATATCAAAAGTATAAACCTATAAACCGTTTGCTTTGAGTCTAAATACATAAATCTCTACAGTACATAAATAATATTTTGTATATTCGCTTTGGTACACAATTCTATTTAAATTATAACTATTATTGCCATGCTCTTTCATAAATAAATATATTGAATTATTTAAGACCTCTTTATAGCAAACAAAAAAATAACAATTGTAAATATAGGGTATCTTTAGATCAAACCTTTCTATCTATCGATTCTCGTTTGTTTTCTCTTTATGAATTCTCATGTTCGATCCCAGTATGTGTGTACATATGAGTATGGTTTTTGGGCAATTGGGGGAAAAGTGGAAAAGCTGAGTGAGCACTGTAATTGCGGGTACGTGCGAGTTGTGAAAAGCTTTCCTACTTTTCACTTTGCCCAGCATGGATGATGCTCTTCTGCAGGGGAGGATGTAATTGTTGTGGTTACCATTGTTGCTGTTGATGCGGGAGAAATAATTTGTGATTTCATGCTTGGCGGAGCGTATTTGTTAATATTTTGGTTATTATTACACATGGTACAGTGGATAAGCCGAAAGAAGTGAAAGAAACGCCCGCCATGTGCCAACATTCGGGCAATCATTCGTTTTAGTTAGTGTATTTTAACTGGTGGGCAGTGTGTTATTAAGTGGGTATGTAAGGAAAACTCAAGCGGTTAACCGATAGGAGTTTCCCCCAAAACAATTCATGCAATTAAATCCTCAAGTTTCGACACCAGGAGGTAATCCCAGTGTAGTTTGGAGTTGTGCAACAATTGACACTCGGAATTGACTTGCAATTTCGGATTATGTTGTGCCAGATATGGTTTCAGTTTCCCGGCTCACCGTTTAGGCAGAGCAATTTCCTTGGTCTGGTCAGTTTTTCCATTTACTTTTCGGTGTCGAGGGGTTTTATACGGCACTCTTGATTTCGAACGCACCGAACCAAACGTGTTTCGTATCTCACGGATGCCGCTTGCAAAACGAACCAGTCCCCATCTACATCTGCATCTGGATCCGCGTCTCGGTTACAGATGCAGGCGGAGTCATTGGGTGAGCATCATCCAAGGCGATTTGGCACACGCTCGGCAACCAGTTAAGACAATGCCCCATCTGATTATGAAGTTGCCATGGAGCGGCCTCAAATTGCAGGCCTCTCGATGTCTACGAACTGAAACTGCACCTGCAAATGTATCTCTATCTCTTAACTAGGCCTCTGTGTTAGGGTGTCACTTGGTGGAAACCAGATTTGCCAGTTGGATAATAATTTTAGGGGGAGTGACTGAACCGCCCGAAGTTTATTAGGCCTTAATATGCGGGCATGGAAAATGGACTCTCGATTGATTGCCACTCTCGTTCGAAGTAAAAGTGCTGGTTTCATTCTCTATCTAATGGATGCCATTACCTTACTGCAATCACCATTATCGTGGACTAACACTTATCACCGATGCTACGCACAAACGTGTTCAAATGCATTTCCGCCTGCTCACCTATCAGATACATATGTATCTTGGGTGTCTTTGTGTGTTTTTGTTTGTCAATTGATTAGCAAACTGCATTCTTGGGCAAGCTAACTTCAAAAAACTACAAACCAGAAACAGAAACAAAAAAGCAATAAAAAAACATGAATATCTTGTGTGCTTATCGCGCATTCTTGCAGATCCACACTGCATATTTTAACACAACTCGCATTATGCAATCGCGATTCTATATGTATATATTTATATATATCTGCGGAGTGCGAGATACGAGGGTGCTGAAAACGTGCGGCCACCACAAAAATCCAATACCCCGCACAAGGTTGACCCGAAGTAGGTGGCCCACCCAGAGCAAAGCTGGTCCAAGAAATGAAAGTCACCACTGGTAATTTGAGGTATGCTCAAAAGCCAAATTACAAAATTATTAGAGCCAGTTTTGTGTAATGTTTGCCCGAATCGAAATGTGAATACCCTTTTCAATAGCTTATCAAAGGTAAAGATAAATTTAGGTGAAAGTAATGGCTGCTCACAAGCATACGTATCATTTCAGTTGGAAAGATAAATATTGATTTTGTGATGAATTATGTCATTAATATTCTTTTAAATAACAAAACGAATGTGTTCTTATCCCAATTTTTCAAAATTACTTAGTTTTCTCTTCTGTGTGGGACATACATAGGTAACGTATGTAGTTTTAAATGTTTCATAAGTCATTAGTCATTTACCTGTGGTTAATACTTTTGTAAGATACATCTTATGAATTTATTCGTAACTTAATAAACCACATGATACAAAATATTTCTATATAACTAAATTATTTGAAAACTCATTAATATTTTTAAAGTGTGACAGCAATAATTGTTAAAAATGTAAAACACAATTTTTGGCATTCTTTTTCTTAAACAATCAATTAATTGGATATTAACATCATAACACAGAAAATATATAATAGATTTAAGTTCAGTGAAGGCTTTAATTTGACTTTTTGAAAGGTAAGTATTTGATTTTAAATTTATCATCATTAAAACATATACCTTTTACTTTTTTCGCAGAGTTACAAAATATTTGAAATAATTAGCATTTGTAGACATTATTATTTAATGTTCGAGCTAGCTCCGATTTTTATTTAGAGTTCATTACTGAACTATAAAAACATTGCTCGCACAAAAGAAAACACAATTTAAAAAGTAATTTGATAATTAGTGCAAGATCGTGACTGACTCAATATTTTAGTATATCTGGTAGTTGATTGTGGTCTTGTTAGCAAGCAGAGTGGTTTAGATAAGTGATACTACTTTGTTTATTATCTTCCATAACAGAAGTGAAATTAATAAGGTTTTGGGTTAATTTTTATTATACTAAAGTTTTGAGGTAACCCCTTTTTGTTTCGTTAAAAATAACCCATATATGTAGTAATTAATTTACTCATCTTCCCACTCTCCTCCAGGGCTAAATCCATCTCTTTTTTTGGCCAAAACAAAACAAACTACTGCCAGTGAAAGGCATTGCCACAAGCTGTGTGGGAATTGGGCTATTGGTGTACATTGTCTCGGGGCTGCAATGAAAGCCATGAAGCAATTCCGCATAAAATTATGAAACGTGACGGCCCCGTACTACACATGTTGATAAGATGTCGAGCATGCAATCTTGGCTAGAACTCCCACTCCCGCTTCCCCTGCCTAAAAACCTGTAAAAAAAAAACACACACACCTGGCTGGAACTCAAACTCACCTTTTAGTTGGAAGACGGGACTGCCGACGGGCGTGTTTTCCGAGAGGCTGAAGCGGGACATGTCGCCCGTTCCGGGGATGAACTGCGGCGGATGGTTTACCAGTTGGCCGGCGGTCAGGCTCAGTCTTTGGCTCAGAAAAAACAGCAACAGCAGCGGCAACATATTGCCGTTGCTAATTTCAGTCTGCCGTTAGGTATCCGTATCCGTTAGGTCCGAGTTTTCGATGGTGTTTACTCGAGTATTTGGCACATGTAGAACGACACAGTTTCGGTTCTCTTGCGTTTTTATTTATTTACTCACTCCACTCTGCTCGCGTTCTTCGACTGGCCGAAATGCAAAACAAACTCTGGTTATTTATTTGGCCCGAAACAATGATTTTTCAATGCTAGCTGCACCGCCCCCTCCCCCCAGCTGGCCTTGTCGCGGGTTGGCTTAAATGAATGGGAATGGCTGAGACTTGCAGATTTATCTTAGCCTTGCCGTTTGAACTTTAGCCAGCTCTCGATCGCATTCCACTAATGATGTGCAAAACGTATAAAACCGTAAATAAGATATTCCGCCGAGATCTAAAAGAAATTTAGTGGCGAACAGAAGATTTCACTTTATGCACATGTGAAAAGTGGCACATGATGATGAGGCGGCTGCTGTCTGCCAGTTCCGATCATTGGGCACTTCTCGGCGATTGGCAATGATGGCTTTCTTTTGGTACCAGCCAACACCAGCTCGCAAGCGAAACAGGGGAATGTGCAAAAGCGGCTAAAACAAATAAACACACAGGCAGGCAGCAGACTGGTTCAGGCTCGGCCTCATAGTAGGTATCTATGGGTTCTACTTGTTTTGGCCAAAAAAGAACAGCGAAAAGAGGAAAGCGAGAGAAAAGGGAAGGTGCAGAGAAACAGGAAGCAATTGCAATTCTGGCGGTTTAGGGCAAACAGTTCTGGCTGAAACTATGATTAACACAAAACTATTCCACACTTTATGGGTATTTTTGGTTTTTGGCCAACGCACGCAAAAAACACACACACACTGGAAACCGCAAAACGGATGACGCTAGGGTCCGAAACTTGATCTTGCGACTTCTTGTTGTTGCTGCTCTGGTATCTTGTATATTGTATACAGCAATAGTATCTCGCGGATAACCGATTTGGCTCGAGAGTTTGAAGCGCGGCAACGTCTGGACGGAGCGACGCTCGCTTACCTTCTGGCCGGACTTACCTGTTGCCGTCCGTTCTTGGCTCTCTGGAGCGGAGCGGCCAGGGGCTCAGCCGCCGAGCTCCGAATACTGGTTTCGTGCTCTTGCCGGTTCTGTTTTGCAGCGGGTTTCGCGCACGCGCAGAGTAATTGGCAATAAAAATGGGGACAGCGTTTGGAAGCCTACTTTTGGGCTGCAAAAGAAAAGTATTTTCAGGTAGAAATGAGCAAAAAGGCTATGAAGCTAGTTTCCCTATCACTTTCACTGATCTAGGTTGAATTCGATTGGAAATTGTTTTTTTCTTAATGAGGCAATTCTTACCACCGCATTGTTTATCCTTATGAAACTGTTTTTATATTTTATTAAATGACTTACTCAGTTTTCTGAGGTTGCTGTCTCATTGCCAGGCCAATATATGAAAACCAAAAATCACCTAAAGATTTGTTAAAGATTGTCAAAGATTTAAAACTAAACTAAAGCGAACAACTAATGTTTAGCAAAACAAATTTTGAACCTATTACTAATGTATATTAATTTTCAGCTTTTAATCGTTAGCATAATTTAGGGAATATATTTGATTGCATTTTCAAACCATAAAAACTGAATGATAACCACCTGTTGATACTGATCTGTTAGATTGAGATACGTAATATATTTATACATATAAAAAATACAATTTATCTATGTTTAATTTAAGGGCAAACAACTGGTTGCCATATGGAATGATGTGGCTACTTCTAACTAAGACTAAGTACAACTAGCGTAGTTAGTGGTTAGAGAGCATCATCCACCTGGAACTGTATCAGATCCTCGACGGGAAAGCGGAAGAGCGAGGCGGTCTGGGCCTCGGCAGCCAACTGTTCGATGTTGGCGCTCTTCTGGTAGCGAAAGTGCTCGTCCACGGGCGTTTTCCTATACCGATGATCCTGCCGAAAGTTGGCCAAGGAGACAGGATCCGGCAGTTCGGCGGCCACAATGGGATGCTCAAAGTCAATCAGCGGCTGGTGATCGCTGCGGGAAATGGTACTAGAGCGATTGCCAGCCTGAGTCTGCAGATGTTGCTGTTGTGACGTTTGGTGTTGCTGCTGGGTTTGATTGAACAATGGATGATGTTGCTGCTGTGGCTGCTGCTGTTGCTGTTGCTGCAGGTGAGTAACGTTACCATTACCTGCTTGTCTCGGTTCTATTGGACTTGGCGGATTGGGAGGTGGCAAATCGTTCGAGTTGATCGTGTTGCGTTGCATGTTGTGGTTGTAAAACGGATTGGTGGAGCTGCGAATCGTGGCAGTGGGTTTCTGCTTGGGGAATACGTTCAGGTGCAGCATAATTGGGTTCGTTTGGCTCTCCACTGGACCCTGACCCTGACTCTGTCCCAGACTCTGGCCATAAATGGCCTCATCAGCATGCACGCTCTTCGGAGGCGGAAACTTGTGGGCCTGCGCCTGGTACAAGGCCTGCTGCTGACTATATCTGGTGGCCTGATCGGGAAAAACCACTGGCTGTTGGGTGGGGAACTTAAAGGGCGTCTGGTAGAGGCCGTGACCCATGTGGAAAGCGGCCGCTGTGGTCCCCGTCAAGGCAGCCGGCGAGGGCAGGGCGTACTCCTGCTGGAAGGGATGTCGCATCACGGACGCGGGTCGCGAAGGTGGCAGCACTGGATATATATCCAGATTGACCTTGAAGGGAACCCTCTTCAGCTGCGGCTGCCTAGTGGCATTCAGCGAAAGCACAGATGGTGGAAAGTGCTGCACGAAGGGATCTGCTACAAAATGCTGCTGGCTTCCATGCTCCAGCAATTGTTGTTGCTGCTGCTGCTGCTGCTTCTTTTTCTTCTTTTTCGACAGTGGTTTCCCATTGCCCAGTGACTGCATGGCCAGCAGATTAACATCTTGCGGGGATCGGGGCTTGTAGGGATACAACTGATCGATGGCCACCCTCTGGTGGGGCATCATCCCGACCCCAGGAGCATACCACTGCATTGGCATGGGCATGGCCATGGGAAACATGGGCATTGGAATGCTAAACTGCATCTGCTTCTTGTTGCGCTTCCCCCGAAAGAAGTTCCCTATGCCACTGGACTTGAGGTTCTTGAAGCTACCGGCAATGTGCAAGCCCGTGGGCATCATTACCATGGGTGGCAGCTTACTGGGCGCCAGACCACCGATGTGCAGGTGCTGCAGGATGTCCTGGATGTTGTTCAGCTCCGGTCGACCTTCCGTCGCCCCCTTGGTGAACTGCTCGGGCAGGGGGCCATCGTAGGGAAAGTGAAAGGGCTTGGGCTTGAAGTCCTCCTGGTTTCGTTGAGCACGGGATCCCGGAGTTTCCGAGTACTGACGCCTTAGCAACGCCTTTGTGGGCGCCGGCGGCGGGGTCGGCGAGCCCAAGGACAACTGCATGTCCTGGGTGGTGAGACGTGGTGGGCGTGGCATCTGGTCACGCAGCAGCCCCCTCAGAGGCGTCATGGTCGCCGATCGCTTGGGCAGACGCTCATAGACATGGGCGTCGTCCGGTTCGTGCGACGATGTTGCGTGTTGCTGCCGTTGCGCTTTCGTGCGCCACGTCCCGTAGATGGGTGCAATGTTGCTGTCGGCACGCTCCAATAAGTAGGCGGTTTCCCCAGCAGCTCCCTGCGTCGCCTGCATCTGCTGCAGATGCAGTTGCAACTGGTGTTGCTGCTGGCGCATATACTGCTGCTGCTGCTCATGCTGCAGTTGCTGCAACTTGGCCCGCATCTTGTCGATGTCGCTGTCACTGTCGCCGTCGGAGGGCTCAGGCTCAGGCTCCGTGGTTGATGGTTCGTCTGCTGAGGACTCAATGTCGTTGGGGGACTGTAGATGTTGCTGTTGTAGATGTTGCTGCTGATAAAGCGCTGCTGCGGAGGCGACCTTGACTACCATGAGAGACATCTGCAAGGCACACACAAAATAAGATCAAAGATTATGGGGTTACATGTGCTTGAAGGTAATTGGTTTTTGGACTAAAACCCATTTCATCACATCCAGATGATCATAAAATTGCTACCATAAATATGGGATTGAAAGTTGAGAGATGTACAATTGCAGATCCGATTCATTATTTCAACATGGACTTGTAATTGCTAGCAAAAATATCTGATTGAATCTTGTAATTTAGGTTTTTTTTGTTAATACTTAAGAATTAAGACCCTACTTGAAAAGATCACATTTGTGTTAAATATCGTTCTAACTGATTAATGATTTGTTAATTATAAATTATTTATTTCATTTCTGCGTCAGGAACTATCAATCCGTTTTGGCAAATACGCGATATTTGTGGTAGTTTCTGGCTTAATATCATCAGTGTATCCTTAAACTCTTGTCTGCATCTTATCCTTTTCAGATTTATTCTTCTAAAATACTGATAGAATGGTCAACTCACAATTGTGTACCCCAGGATCAGGCCCATAGTCCACCGCCTGCCTTTAGTTGAGCCAGGATCCAGTCGCGTTCGAGTGTCTCGATGTCTTTGACTGACTGCCGACTGCATGAACATCTTTCCGGACTCTGCTGCTCGAACCACTCGGCTTGCCTATCGCTTTATAAATGTGGACTTGAGCTTCTGCCTCATCGCGGATCGCAACGATGACTGAGTGCAGCCGGGAGCTGGCGGCGCCTAAAAAGCGTTGGTTATATCGGCCCAAGTGCAACAGCTTAATTAGAAAGTTTAATAGAGTTTGGCTGCGAAAGCAAAACAGCAAGCTGCAGACAAATAAATTAATTGCTCAGGCGAATTCGTGCTCCCAGGCATGTGGAAAAGAAAGAGATATTAAAAAACGCATTGACCATGAAAATCTGAAGATCGCAGCGAAGTAACTAGAAATATATCTTGGGTGTTGTAAATCCGAACTGGTTATGCTCTGACGGATAAGTTGATAAGAACGCCATACAGGGCTCTACATGGTTTTCCATTAGAAGAGTTATAAAAAAAGTGAAATCAAATATAAAACTGGTGGTACAATTGTGAAAAAAAACTAATCTAGCACGCTAATGTATTCCTAGCCTCGCAACTGCTGAACATAATTAGAGCCAAATCGCCTTAATAGTTCTTAATTTAACAATTACTATAAATTTGTACACAATTGATTTGATATCATTTTGTACAGAGAACTTAAGGATAATAATTTTATTTTAACCGGAAGTTTACTTATTTACTGATTTAAACTAAACCCTTTTCTATTAGTGCCTTGCAATGCTACGATAAGTTCTTTTAATACAAATCAATTCGATTATTTTTAACTGCAAACTTTTTTTCTATATATCCGAAGGATAACTTTAAGGTATGTTTAACCCGAAGGTAAATTGTTTTATGTTTGTTAAAAGAAAGTTAAACTATTTTTTTAAAAAGTCAATTTACAGTCCTTATAACAAAGCTAAAGAGTTCTTACATCCGAAAAGTACAAACTGCAATGACCAGAATTGAATGTCTAGGTTAACTGACTTAACCTGCACATTTTTCATTTTATTGCATGGCAGCAACAAACACCTTAGCATAGTCGTAAAAACCGACTTTTATGATAATCGTCAAAAGACGAACGCCGAACAACACCACAAAATCTCCCGGACATGATTTGCTCCCATTTCCCGTTTGCAAAAATAAAAATAAAATGCGTGAAAATACTCGAAAAATGTATGTTTCGGTTTCCAACAACCCAATAAGATGAGTAAACCGCAAGATAACTCGAAGTCTCCCTTCCCGAAAAGCATGAGAAACGCATGTAAATATTCGAAAAACTTATTTTATTGTTCAGGTTTCAGCGATCCGAATAAAAGGTTTATTTAATCGTAATATAGAGCTATATAGTCTTGAGCTGGCGAGCGTCACAGACGACGGCCGCCCTTCGATCGTAGCATAGTGGTAGAACATAGCAAGAGTTGGATAGACTGTTAGCTGTACAATTGGGGCACACATAGACAATGATCCCTATCTGTATGAGTATGCGATTCATTAATTACAAAAATAAAATAAAAACAAACAAGTGTCGTCCAAGCACCGCTAGCGGCGGAATCGTGTAACGTTAGACTGTACGAGTATTGACTAGATCAATCTAGCCCTAGACGAAGGCCCTATCCCGGATCATCTCTAGATCTCTAGAAGTTGAATGGGATGTTGGGCACTGGGTACTGGTAGCCCTGGTGCTTGGTGGGTGGGGGTGGGACGTACACGGTGGTGCGCACGGTCGGTGGTGGCACGTACACGGTGGTCCTACGAGTGGGGGGAGGGGGTGGACGGGTGGTGCGTACAGTCACGGGGGGCAGGTAAGTGGTTGGGGGACGGGTTGGGGGGCGAGTGGGTGGTGGAGGAGGGCGGGTGGTGCGCACAGTTGGGGGGAGGCAGATAGGTGGTTGGTGGGCGAGTTGGGGGCCTCGTGGGAGGCAGAGTGGGGCGGGGAGTGGTGCGGATGGTGGTGCGAACGGTGGCACGAGTGGTGGCCGGTGGTGGTGGCTTGTTGGTGGGTGGCAGGTAAGTGGGAGCTGGGGTGGTTAGGCGACGAGTAGTCGGTGGGTAGGTTGGGGGACGGGTTGGGGGACGAGTTGGTGGTGGAGTGGCCCGGGTGGTGCGCACAGTCACGGGAGGAAGATAGGTGGTTGGTGGCCTGGTTGGGGGCCTAGTTGGGGGTGGGGTGTACCGGGTGGTGCGCACGGTCACGGGGGGCAAGTAAGTGGTTGGGGGACGAGTTGGTGGCCTGGTAGGAGGCAGAGTGGGACGAGGAGTGGTGCGGATGGTGGTGCGAACAGTGGCGCGGGTGGTAGCCGGTGGTGGTGGCTTGTTGGTGGGTGGCAAGTAAGTGGGTGCGGGAGTGGATGCACGGGTTGGTGGCCTAGTTGGGGGTGGTGTGTACCGGGTGGTGCGCACAGTCACGGGAGGCAAGTAAGTGGTTGGTGGGCGAGTTGGTGGCCTGGTAGGAGGCAGAGTGGGGCGGGGAGTGGTGCGGATGGTGGTGCGAACGGTGGCACGAGTGGTGGCCGGTGGTGGTGGCTTGTTGGTGGGGGGCAGGTAAGTAGGAGCTGGGGTGGTTAGGCGACGGGTGGTCGGTGGGTAGGTTGGGGGACGGGTTGGGGGACGAGTTGGTGGTGGAGTGGCACGGGTGGTGCGCACAGTCACGGGAGGAAGATAGGTGGTTGGTGGCCTGGTTGGTGGCCTAGTTGGTGGTGGAGTGGCACGGGTGGTGCGCACGGTCACGGGAGGCAAGTAAGTGGTTGGTGGGCGAGTTGGTGGCCTTGTAGGAGGCAGAGTAGGGCGGGGAGTGGTGCGGATGGTGGTGCGAACAGTGGCGCGGGTGGTAGCCGGTGGTGGTGGCTTGTTGGTGGGAGGCAGGTAAGTGGGAGCGGGAGTGGATGCACGGGTTGGGGGCCTGGTTGGTGGGCGGGTTGGTGGTGGAGTGGCACGGGTGGTGCGCACAGTCACGGGAGGAAGATAGGTGGTTGGTGGCCTGGTTGGTGGCCTAGTTGGGGGTGGAGTGTACCGGGTGGTGCGCACGGTCACGGGGGGCAAGTAAGTGGTTGGTGGACGAGTTGGTGGCCTGGTAGGAGGCAGAGTAGGGCGGGGAGTGGTGCGGATGGTGGTGCGAACTGTAGCCCTAGTGGTGGCCGGTGGTGGTGGCTTGTTGGTGGGCGGCAGGTAGGTAGGAGCCGGGGTGGTTAGACGACGAGTGGTCGGTGGGTAGGTTGGTGGCCTAGTCGGGGGTGGGGTGTACCGGGTGGTGCGCACAGTCACGGGCGGCAGGTAGGTGGTTGGTGGCCTGGTTGGGGGCCTAGTTGGTGGTGGGGTGGCACGGGTGGTGCGCACAGTCACGGGCGGCAGATAGGTGGTTGGTGGGCGCGTTGGCGGCCTGGTGGGAGGCAGCGTCGGGCGAGGAGTGGTGCGGATGGTGGTGCGAACAGTGGCGCGGGTGGTAGCCGGTGGTGGTGGCTTGTTGGTGGGCGGCAAGTAGGTCGGAGCCGGAGTCGAGGCGCGGGTCGGTGGCCTGGTTGGTGGCGGCGTCGGGCGACGGGTGGTCACTGGTGCTGGTGGCTTGTTGGTGGGCGGCAGGTAGGTTGCTGGTGGACGAGTTGGGGGCTGAGTTGGGGGACGAGTTGGCGGCCTGGTTGGCGGAGGAGTCCTTGGTGGTGGTGGTGGCGTTGGGCGACGAGTGGTCACTGGTGCTGGGGGCTTGTTGGTGGGTGGCAGGTAGGTTGCCGGGGGACGGGTGGTTGGTGGCCTGGTTGGGGGCCTCGTTGGAGGAGGAGTCCTTGGTGGTGGTGGTGGTGGGGGCAGACGGGTGGTGGCCGGTGGTGGTGGCTTGTTGGTGGGCGGCAGGTATGTAGGCGGTGGACGCGTCGGCGGGCGAGTGGGTGGCCTAGTGGGTGGGCGCGTTGGCGGCCTCGTGGGAGGCTGGGTGGTGCGCACGGGCAGATCGAATGGCACCTGGGGTTGGGGGTAGAAGTATCCCTCGGCGGCACGAGTCTTGCGCTAAAAAAAGGGGGTGGCTCGTGAGATCCTGTGAGTGGGAAAATTGACGACTTGTCACTTACCTCATGGGTGTCGGCCGATGCGGTGGCCACCGCCACAGCGCAAAGCGCCAAAACGAACAGTGCACTTCTCTGTGGGGAAGAGAAAAGGAGAACGGGTGGTTAGTCGATGCTGTGTAAGATCTTGATGGTCTTTTGTGGTGTGGCGGTGCAGAGGTGCTCAGGTGACTAACGACTGGCTCTAACAACCTGATTGCGACTAATTGATCGCCTTCTAGGCTAATCGCCTCTTCACGCTTCGTGGCGACATGGCCCGGATCGGAAGAGGCAAGGCAACTCCGCTGGCCTGCAGTTGAAAACTGTGGTAAAGTTCAGCCAACAAAGCCTTCGAATCGATTTGCCATAATGCATTGAAAATCACCCGAAATGCTAACGCAGACATTCAACTTTGACAGGCATTAGCATCTCTAGGTCAGTCCCCTCCCCCGAAGCGGTGTAAGTCTCGCCGATTGCCGCGATTGATACATAATGCCTATGCAAATGCGAAGCGACACAAGAGATTTGTGCTTTGTTGGGACCCGAGGAAACAGCCCCTGAATTATGGCTTCCGACGCTGCTGTCAGCAAGTTCATTTGCATTTGTCGCTGGAGTTTCGGCAAGGTCATTGCTAGTTAATGAAAGTGCTCGTCGATGGCCGCAGGTGGTCGATGAGCTCAATTAATTGGCCAGCGGAGAATTTTCGGGGGTTATATAAATAGCCGATTATGCCAGAAACCGGCCCGGATCTGGGCTCCAAACTCCAGACCAGTTCTAGCCATGATTATATAATAATCAGCCAAGACAGGCCATAAAACTAGCGAGAAAATCCGATGTCGCCTGCTGAAATTAGCATACGCATCTGCCATAAAAAAGAAGAGTCTCGGGTGTCATTTATAACCAAATCTGTTAGATTATTGCCCACATGTCCAAAAGCGGCTGGGTCTACATTTTATTTAAACCTCTGATTGTTTGCTAATTTCAACAAAAATTTGACTTTTGTATGTAAATGATTTTAAATAATTTATGCTAATGAACCTGAACTTTTGGCTGTTCTAACTCGTTTGAATTATCGCATCAGCAACAATTTGGCTACGGAATTCAAGAATTAAATCTGGTTTTGACTTTTGGATGGGGGAGCATAAGACTAAGAAAGTGAAAGGACTTGGGCAAAGCTCTTCCCTTGACGGTTCATTATGCTAATTGGCAGCTAATTAATCCGATTCACACCGCATCGAGGGCAGAGCCTCAATGCCAATGCTTCGGAGCAATGAAATTAGTTTAAAACTGTGAGAAATGTGGCCAATACAAATGCCTGGGGAAAATAACTGGGAGCCCTTTAACAAATGAATTCTTCTTGGGCAACAATTTCTTGGCGGCGGTTCAATGGCAACGTCAAGAATCAAACTTAAGGCAAATGTTTTTATGGCTATTTACCTAAATACGCCAATCGCAAATTGCCACTCGCAAATGTCAGAAGCAAAAGCGAAAATTATGGATAAAAAAAAACAAGTTTTAATTTCATCTTCAGTCATGTCAATGCTGACATAGAAACGGCCGCCACATGGCAGAATGCACATGCAGCTGGTCCATCCTAATGACTTAATACGCAAATTGCGGTTCGCGCCAAGGCGATCCAACTCCGTGGGCGGCCCACACGGCGTATGCGTAACATTGCACTCGATGGCACTTGCTCAATTTCTACGTGGCTTAAATGTCAACCGCCAGCTGGTCAACGATGATAGCCCGGGTCCAGAGTTGGACCCTCGATGAAATGTGAAATGCAAATAGATGGCGATTGAATTGGAACTGCAGTTGGCTTTGCCAATTTATTTGCTTTTTCTTCTTGTTTGCGATACTCTGCGATGCACAGAGAAAAAATCACACAGTATTTTCACCAGCCATTGCGTAGATCCTAATAATCTTTAGTAAAGTAATATTCGTTAAACAAAATCATTTTTTATCGAATTAAATTCAATTTAAAATTGGTCCAGAACTTTAGAGCTTTTCTTCTAATATACTTTTTGGGTCATTTTTGTTTTTATGTGTGATCCAGTTTTGTTTTGCATTAGGTTTTAGTATATTCTTATTCTTTCTTTTATTTTATAAAACCTCTATAGTAAATATATTAAAATCAAATAAATTAAATCAGCTTTTCCATTTTAAAACATGTGCTTTTTTCCCTATTTGTCACTATTTCTTCCTTGGAAAAATTTTAAAAATAACATAATTGATCCTTAGTATTAGAAACATAACATAATATATTTTTGGAGACCACAAATTCGATTTGTAATATTTGTATATTTTGTTATGCATCAAAATTTAAAGTGTAAACTGTTTATCAAACCTTATTGCCATTTATGTGAGGAAATCTACATTTTTTAACACAATTAAGATCTAAAATATCTGCAAACTCCCATAATATTTTGAGCTAACAAAACTGATACTGTTTCTCTCTCTGCATTGCTGTTTCCTTTTGCGAAATGTCTTGTTTGACTTCACACCGAGGGACACTTGTTTCGTTATTTTTTGCACTTTGCACACGATCATTGTTCGTTTTGGGTTAGATTAGATTTAGATGGGAACTGGGTTCGGTTACCATGGTGTACACTTTCGGACTGCTACAAACGGCAGTTGCAATAATCCCGGGTGCGTGGGTAATCCTTTGCGGTGCGTATGTGTGCGTGGTTAATCCTTGCGGACGATACTGTGAGGATCGGAAAAGGAAGAGACGCGACCGATCGTATCAAATTCAATGGACGATTGAATTTGATCGATGCCAAGCTAAGTTGGTTTAACTTCTAGGTCGAGTGTGGAATACCAACTAAAGCATCAAAACTTGTAGATTTTCTATATATACTCGGACCCAGCATCTGCCCAACCGGGCAGCGGCGTCTCAGTCGGCGCCGGCAGAGGCATCTTCACCTGGGCGACAGCTGTTAACACACGGCCAAAAGCCGAAATCGAAAGCGTTTTGGCCAGATGAAGATGAGCCGAAGTCGCTGCCTCTGTCGACGGCGATGCCGACTGCTGACCAGCCAGCCAACCAGTCTCAGTTGTTTGATGTTTGTAAGTTAACAGAGCTGGCCAGATAACATGGCTAAGACAATAAGGCAGCCAAATTGAGGCCCAGCAATTATGGCAGATGAACAACTAAGGCAGACCCACAACAAATTCCCGCTCTTGTTGGCATTTCTATTTAGCCAGCTCCGATTGCGGGCAAATACTCGTACTTTTGGCAAAAGTCTTTGGGCGAGTGTTAAACACGTTGTCGTGCAGCGTTTAATTTGGTAAATGGGTCCGAGCCACCGAATTTCATCAATCGATGAGACAAGCTGGCTCGCCAAGTCAAGTCAAGGCTCCCATCGGAGCTTGAGCTTGCCAAGGCAAATAAGGCCGAGAAGATCAGGCGTTGGCTAATGGCAATTACCTGCCGAAGCAGGCCTAAATGCAGTTGGCCGATTGAGCGAACATGAACCGGTTGACTTGGCCAAAAATGCGTATGCCCGAAGGGGTCAGCATATGGCAGCCGGAGTTGAATGTTAAGGTAGGCTCAGCTCAGCTCATCTCTGACTCCTCGCCAGCCGAATGACCTTTAGACGCACACTCGAAGATCTCCGATCTGATCGGTGCTGCATTCTTCGAGCGACTCCCAAACGGGTTTCAGCGTTTGTCATCGCCTGCATTTCGCTTTTTAATAACTAGAATTTATTAATTTGCAAACAGTCACGTCTAGCTTTTAATGAACCAATCAGAGTGACACCCACTAGCCACCAAGCGGAGTCATGAGGCGGCCCAAAATAGAAGTGACTTTGAACTCTTTCGGCCAAAAGGTGCGTGGTCACCTAGTCAGGGTCTGAAAAGCCCGCAGAACACCCAAAAGGAAGTGCAGCTGGACGGAAGTCACCCTTTCGGCCATCAGGTGGCACTTAGAGCCACAATTAATTCTTGGCTTTTATTGCATAATTGCCGGCTAACTATTCGGGTCATAACTTGCTTCGCACATCCCCACAAAGGCAATGACACTTGACGACGACTGCTGACATTTCAAATTTGTCATTGCGGATAACTAAAGCGACTGAGTTGTTTTTATTATTTGTTTTAACTCTTTATCGTGTTGAATACTTCTCGAATACCGACTAGAGGAAAAGTCTTTTTTTGTCGCATCACCGGCATTGCAACATGCAAGAGATTATTCAACGTTTTCCACGCCGAAAAGCTGAGATTTTTGGACTCCACCGAAGGACGTTTACTAAACACGGGTGACAAATTAATTGCTTATTCTAAACCGCATTCTGGACAGGTTTCTCTTTAGATAAATTAAATATAAAGTTGCTAATCTAGGGGAGTTTCAGCTTTTGTGTTTATTGCCTTTTGTCTTGAGGTACGGAAATCATGATATCTAGTTTTTCATTATGCTTTATCAGCGGAGAGATCTTGTCTTGGAGTTATTTCCGAATTGTGCTACAGACATTCTCCTGATGGTATGGTATTTTTAAATCTTTGTCTTGAAGTAGCTTGAACTGAATAGAAAAAAAACCATGAAACGAGGTAAACAAATCTTAAATCATAATGTTAAGTGAATTTTTTCTGGTACACCCCACAAAAACTTCTGCCAAAACCTCATCATAAACAAATTTTCAACAGCAAATGTTGCTACAAAAATTTTTGCGTAAGGCCATTTAAAAGTTGTAAATGCTAACTTGGTTTTTACAAACATCGTCGCAAACATTTCTAAGAAATTATATATTTATTTTGGTAGCATATATCAGTAGTATTTTTAAAGTGCATTGTTTTACCAAAGGATTTTAATAAGAAAGTGGAATTTTCAGTATATTAATTTTAAATCTTTATCATAAGTCAATATTTTTTTAGGAACCTGAAGATTTATTAAGCTTGCAAACCCCTAGACTTCTTTTAATAAAATCTTGAACGCATTCAGGTAGACTATTAATACTGCTTATCTAATCCCAGAGCAAATTAAATACCTTCACGCACAAGCCATTAAAATTGAAATCAAGTCTCTTGGCAAGAAACACGACAAATGCGACCGCAAATCGCCTAATGAAAAGTGTTCGGCTAAGAAGAATAAACCCAGAAAAAGTTGTCGCCACTGAATATTTATAAGAAGGCCGATGTCTTTTTACCCACCCAGAAGATTCACGCATCTTTGAATGGATAAAGACGCGTCTCAGAGTGCGTGGATATTTAAATTTCGCGGATCTTGTCTTGGAGGGTATCATATAAATTTCCGAGTCAAATGTCACGTCACCTGCGTCAGCGGTTGGGGCAGAACAAACCGCCGAAACATCGTTAATTGTGCTTATGATTTATGCAAATTTATCCCTATACATAACGCATTTGTCCGCGTCTCACTGGTAAATTCTACATGGCTTCAGTCAAGGCGGACTATATTGTTTCTTGCTAAAGATTTATATTTATGTAAATCCGCCAGTCAAACAAACGCCCGACCCGGACTAACTAGTTTCCCACTTTGTATCGTTTTTTTCGTTACTTTTAATTTTGGCTTGGAATTCTGGACTAGGAAGTGGAAATATTAAAAGTTTTGTTGAAGGCTTCAGCTGGGCTTTACAATATGGTAAACTTTTGAAATGGAAAGTTTCCAGATGCTTCGTTTTATAAAAATCTGTTCTCGCTAGACAAAAAAATTAAAAACTTAATAATTTGTTTGTTTTGTTTTTTTTTCTTTTATATCACATTAAAAAATTTAATTAGAATTATCTTTTTAGCCAACATTTAAGTGTCATGTGCTATTTATGAGAAAGAAACAATATTAAATAAATATAATATTTAAATTTTAATTAAATGAACTACTTAGCTATGCTCGTGGTGACATAATGTTCTTTAACATAAATTCATATAAAATACTTAGCGTTGTCAGAAAAAGAATCCTTTTTTTTAATATAAAATCGAACTAAATTCAAGTGAATGTCCTTAAGAAAAATTAATATTTTATCCATCGGCTCAATTAATCAGACTGACACAAGGAATTCCAATATCAATTAAGACTTTTAGCCATAACTCAATGGGTTGCATAAAAATAAATAAATAAAGACTTATCGAACCAAAGATCTGTAAATCATTCACCTTAAATTGTTTTAGATCAAAGACAAAGACTAAATCAATTTTTTTAAACCAGAAATCGCTCGACTTTGTTTAAACAATAAAAAGAACAGTTAGATGATCGCAATACAGAAATTCCGACCGTAAATTTATGAATATGATTTGGCAAAATGTACAATGTTTGCAATGCGATTGAATAATTGTTAACAGTCGCGTTCGGCAAATCGCATAAACAACTTGCTAACGGCATTTAGTTAATGGATATTTCAAGTCGCTGAATAAATGGCGTTTGAAATTCATTTAAAATCTTTTAAATTTACTTGAAACAAAAACCTGCAGCTCGCTGAAAAATTTAAAAAAAAAAATGTGTTTTTCCCCCGCAAAAGACCCAGAAACAACAAAAATATTAATAAGCCTTATCAAGGACACCGGCAGGCGAGCGTTAACCAGTTTTTGGCCAGCTGAATTTATGGGCCACAATTGCGGGCCATTGCCATTGGAATCCTTGTCGCGCTAAATGAAACACCCAGCCAATTTTTGGGAACCGCCGAGGGTCATAGCGCTGGGAACTGTGGGACAGGTAGCCCATGGAAACCGGTTACACAGATTCTGGGCTCGGGCCATTACATAACCGAATGACCCTTGAAAGTTTAACCAACTCGCCTGGCCTTTTGAAGCGAAAGTGCCGCGCTTAAACAGAATTTACAAGACAATCGGGGCGTTATCATTAATCAGGCTCAGATCGGTGGCGATCAGAAACGGAATTGAGCCTACTATTCACTTGAGGCGACACCCCGTCTCAAGCTCAACTCAAGACCCCATGCTTGGTGGGTCAGAGAAACGGATGGTGGCCGAAATGGAACTTGAGCTGATGGCTCACATCATGACTGATTAATGGCCATCTCGAGAGTGCACTTCACCCCTGCCATCTCGGCTGGCAAATTAGCCCATTTGTGTCCGAGATATACACACATCCACTAGCAGTCGGATACAGAGGCAGAAACACTTTGGAGTGCAAATAAAAGCAGAAATTGGAGCAGTTCGGCTCACACGCGTCCACGGTCACAAGGCTGTTTAAGGCCAAAATTAAATTCAAAATTAAATATACACAAATGAGATAAATATAATGTATGAATTGGAGCTACAAGCTACATATCAGACTTGAGCCCTCAATGTGGATGTATAAATTCTACACGGATTGGCTGAATAAAAACAACGAGCCAAAAATTAATTTCGTATAAAATTCATTTGTTTCGGACTGGGAACTGGCCAACTGGTTATATCGCCTCATTTTAATAGCCAACTGGTTCGTCCCAGTACATAATATATTGCCATTTACTTATATCTTTTAGGCAGACCACTTTTGACAGCGACGATTCTACGCCCGAAAATCCAAATTAAAAGTCAGACATGCAAATTTATCAGTCTTTTATTTTTGTCGTCGAACACTCCCTTTGATTTACAGAGGAATTAGTGATATTTCTATAGGCATATACAGTCTAGCATGTTCTTTCTTATAACATCCATAGATATGACAATAATAAGTTATATGTTTTAATTATTTTAGAGGTTAGCTACCCCATTTCCAAAAGTGTGCATTGAAATTGGAAAATGTTGAAAAGAAGAGGATGCCCTTAAATGATAGAAAATATATGTATCAATAGAAATATTTATCTGTATAACTAAATTTGTATTTTTATCTTTAATAATCAATAATCACATTTATCTTAAATGTTTTGTATACTTTAAATTGAATACTAATATTTCCAGTTTTGAGTTTCTCAGAATAACTTAACTTAATAAAATAACTTAAACAGGAAATAAAATGGAATTATCTAATAAATGTCTTAAAATAGCATCCATAAATAGTAATAAATAGTGATATGTTTAATAGTGATATACATAAAGTGAAATAGAGAGTATTCACCTTTCGGTTTACCCTACCAATTGGACTTTCAATCTTGATTTAAAAGAAGCTTCATAAGGTATCACACACTGACGCACTACGTGGATCCCATATTTATATAATTTATCGAAATCTGCACGATTGGAGGCCTGTGAAGTGTCTGATCGTAATGGCAGACACAAACACCATTCTGCACTTGTGAAGGCACCCAAAAGGCCGTATAGCTTCCACCCAGCCATAAATTTCAGTTGTGGCAGTTATGATTTGTTGACCGGGGTCCAAGACCACACATTCATCCACAGAATTTTGGGAGTGAACTGAAGTCTTCCGCATTTATGGCCCTTGACTTGGTCACGCTGTTTAATTGGTAAATGTGCTTTAGTCCTTTTATCCTTTCATGTCTTGTGACATTTACTCGACTTGGCATCGCATTTCAGGCGATTAGCGCCAACTAAATTGGATTATGCAATCTAAAGACGTCAATCAGTGTGAATTCCCCTGTTTAATCCCCGCTCTCGGTGGCATCTTCTCGACTCGAAGGTTAAATGGACCAGTTTTCTAATGAATTTTAGATAAAGTTCGGCTCGGACTACGGCCACAATGAACGCCTAAGTATTTATTAGCTTTAATTTGAATTTTCATATAAAATAAAGCCGCGAACAAAACTCGTTGAGGCGCTGCTTCTGCACGGAGATATATTTAGACATAGATGCTTCTATACGAAAACATAAAAAGAAAAAAAAAATCAACACCGCCAAACAAAATCAAGTTCACCTCGAGTGTATCAAATTTGTATAAAATTCATCAGTTAGCAAATACGTCAGCTGGTAATACAAGATTCAAAGTTTGTGGTTAGCTATATACCAGAGTGTGTGTGTGGGCATTATGCGAAGCAGAGGAAGAAGACCAAGTCCAACATACACAAAGTATCGTATATAGATAGATATATTTGTACCTGTTGAGCTCGGATCGATTAGCATTTTAGTGGCTGCCTTAATGATTAGCCGCCATGGGAGCCATTTCAATGCAGTTCTGCGTGGCTAAACTATATTTTTATGTGGAATCGATTAACTCGAGCCATACATCACACGCTTGTTCCATCCATTCGATATGCTCCACTCAAGGCCCCCCCTCGGCGATCCGAGCCAGAGTTGGAATCTGCTCAGAAGTGGCCAAAACACCTCATGATTGACCACTTAATGGGCCAACTTCGCACTTCTTAAGCGATATTAAAAAGAATATATCAGATTTTATAGGAATTGGACAATAATTGCTCAATTTTCTTTTTCATAGCTCCATCAATCTTCAACTCTACCACTTCATTGTAATAAAAGTATTGACATGGCATTGGCTGTAACCGAAGTTGTCGTATATCTTTTAATCTTAACCTTTTCAAAAATAGTTATAAAACGGTTTAATAACTAATTTTTGATAAAAAGATGGCAATAAAATAGCATTACATTAAAAAATATATATTTATGATATTTTTACAGCAAAGTCGTTTTAAAGTTATCTAGGTTATTCTAAAGAAATCCTTAACCTTTATACACATTGTAATAAATAACTTTAATAAAACTCAATGTTCAATGCTATTAAAAATATATGAGACACAATATATTTTTTTGATTAAGCAGCAAATAAAACCGAAAAATATCCTTTCCATTAACCATTGCTAAAGAAACAAAGAACAATTTAACAACCTTATATCGTAACCCCTATTTTTAAAGCAGACGTCAAGACTCTAAAACAACACGTTAAAGATTAGTGTATATAATCCAGACCAAATCAGATTCTATAAACTGAAGAATCCCACACAGTTCCGTTTCAGATAACGGTACATAATCGATAAATAATTTACCGACTTTATAAGCTTTCGATTTCGTTGGCGTTTGCGTCAGCATAACTTGCTCTGCGGCTAAAAACAAAAGTAATCTGCAACAAATTTTAATTGCCATCTTAGAATGTTCACTTGCCCAAAAATCTTGTTCTCGAAACCATTTTGTGCAAATTTGTAGCGAATATTTATAGCCTAGAATGGCAAAATATATATTCTAAGCTGGATTTTGGTAGTTAGCAGCGGCAGAAGCAGTCGACACGATACACCGATCATGTTCGAGCATGTATGCTAATTAAAATTCTGGTTCCCGAACTTGAATCCATAGATGAGATATTTAAGTAAGAGTTTTGTGATTAGGAAACAAATTTAGCACCCGACTTGATAAATACCCGAACTTTGATATTTAATAACCATAAAATTTTGATGAACAGAACACTCGAGCGATCATAATTTACTAATCGTACTATTTATTACATAAGATCGTTTTTCGAAATCGTTGTGTGTTTTTATGTAACTTTACAATGGATGCTTAGGTTATGGGGTCATACATATGCCTACGAACTAACTAAGAACTGAAGAAGCTTAGGGTTAATTCAGTTATTTCAAGTTTTTTGTTTCAGGCACTCGAATCCATGATAGTTCAACGTGCTACGACTAAATGTCAACCCGAAAGGGTATACTCCTTCTCTTCCTGCTCCATATTTTCAAATTTCCATATGGAGAACAATGACAACGGAATTTTCTCGACTTAAGCTAAGGAACTAGATCGTAAAACTATTTCTAGGGATATTTACAGCTCGCAACTAGAAGATACACTTTCGTGGCTTATAGTTAGGTGTGTGCCTTAGGTGCAATACGGATTACAGATACAGATACGTTTGTTTTGGATGCAACAAGTCTTTTTGAATGTGAATGCTTCGTTTCCTACTCCTTACTATCCCCTGGTTTCACAGCTCCGTGGAATACTCTTCCGGGTTGACGTTGAACTTCCGCCAGCAAATGTGATCCGCCGCTCCACCGGAAGTCGCTGGCGGTGGCAATTTGTGCGAGTTAACATTGACCACCGAGCTGGCGGACCGCTTCACATGGACGCTGGGCGGCGGCGGTTGGACGGGAGCGGCCAGACATCCCGTGGAGCGGCCCAGCGGATTGCGGGACATGGCCGAAGTAGAGTTGTTGTTGCTTTTCCCGTTGCCATTGCCATAGGTGATGGATTCAGGGTTCGAGGGCGAGATCTCTATCCGTGTGGCATGGCCGGTTCCACTTCCTCCGTCGGAGAGTCGCCGAATGTAGACCACCTCGCGGTGCTTCTCCACCGATTCCCTGGGCGGTCGCATCTGCGTCTGCGGCTGAGCGGTCTGCCTCATCCGTTGCGAATACCGCGTGGGCTTCGAATCGCTCGCCTGGAAGGGCACATACTGCTGCTGCGTGATGCCAGGGAACTTATCCACACTAATATCCTCCTCGATGGCTGAGTCTCCAAACATGGATCCACTGTAGTTGGGCGAACTATTCCCCGGAGTGGAGGACTTCCAGTGCTGCTGGTGCATGGTCGTCTGCGTCTGTCCGCCATTCTGAACGCCGTACTTTGGGGCACTCGAGTACTGACCCTTCTTGATGGAGTGCGTGTAGTCGCGGGTTCCCCTCCGTCGCAGCGTGAAGTCCCTGCGTCCAGTGTCCTGGCAGACGGAGCGCCACTGCTTCCAGGAGTGACGGGCCAGCGGATCCGCCGGACCCCACTCCTTCGCCGGCTTGGAGGCCTCGCAGATCATGCCGAAGAAGTTGTACTCCACCTGCCGGAAGATCTGCACACAGGCAATGATCACGATCACGGCCAGCACGAACAGAATTGGCGCCCAGCGTGGCAGATACTCCGCCAGCACGTCGTACTGATCATCATCGGCGCACCACCAAACCAAGATACCTGTAAGTATGGCAGGGCAGATGACCCACAGCCACATCCAGACCCTGAAGATGGGACGTCCGATGGAGAACTCCAGGTCGGTGTAGATGTTCTTGGCTCCGTAGATCCAAGTTATGGCAATCAGCTCAAACACCAGAGCAGTCACCACCATGGTGCCCACCAGTCGTGAGTCTAGGACACGGGCAATGAGGAACTTGGGCGCCGCAAACGATATGACCGCCACCACCAGTCCAATCAGGCAGATCACATAGTTGGGGCGTCTTGGCACGAGACGCGTAGAGGTGTACACCGCCACCGTGATGGAGACCATGGCCGAGAGGATGATCAGAGTGTAGATGAGCGAGGGAACCAGGTGCTGCAGCAGATGGCTATCGCCTTCGCGGGAGCCATTCAACACCCGATCGTAGATGGCTGTGAGGGGTTTCAGCTCCTCCATGTTCTGATAGCCATTGGCCGAGAAATCGAACTGAACCATAAACAATGTGACGGCAATGGCGTTGATCAGCAGGTTGAAGCAGAGGTAAACCACCGAGGTTCTCACAGCGTCGCCTTTGTACAGGAACTTTCCCGTCACCATGGGCAGAGCTCCAAATCCACAGTTCACCGAGAAGAGGACCTGCATCAAAGCATTGAACCAGATGTTGCTCTCGGCCAGCAAACTGGCATTGAAGCCCCAAAGCTCCGGGAAGTAGTGACGACTGAAGGAGTTTCGCACCTCCCAACCGGTGAGGGTGCAAAGCAGGAACAGACCAACCAATCCGTAGACAAATATGCTGCGACGCAGGATCTTGGCATTGTGGGTGCTGTTGGTTTAACAAAACTGATATTAGTAAATAATTAAACAGATTTTATACAGGTTTAACTCTTACCACAACATCACGACTATCCAGAGCCCAATTAGCCCCGCTGCCAGAAGGCCAAAAAACATGGGATTACGCCAAAAGGGCGTAAGAAAGGTCTGCTGCAGGCACTCCTGTCCACTGGTTCCCGTCAGGAGGTAGCCACTCTGGAGGACAAGGTAAATAAGAAATAGAGTCATCAAAGGAGAAGCTATAACTTACCAGTCGTAGTTTTACGGGTCCGGCGCACTCGCGGAATGGCAGATCATTGGAGGCGAACATCCCGATGTAGGCCAGTGCCAGCACGGCCTGCAAGGACACCCAAATGGCCGAAAGCCAAGAGGCGAAGCGACTGATGATGCTGGCTCCTGGAAATAGGGACTACGATTAATATCACATATTTACAAATTCAAAATGTAATGCCAATTTGTCATTATATATTCCAATATACCTTAAATCTTTTTATATTTTATGTTTATGTTTTTAATATCCTCTACATATTTATCTACAGCTGGATATTTTAATGTATTTTCTTAGTTCTCATATTCTTAATTTATAAACTAACGCCCCTTATGTAATTCATTTAGTGAGATTAAGGGTTAACCATATATTCGTGTCCCGAATTGGATATATAAATCGTTCCAAGTACGATTAAAAAATCTCACCTTGCTAACGATCTACAAAAGAGCGGAAGAGGAGGAACCTAGTTAATTAAATTACTTTTGTCATTTAAATGGCGAAATTCATAAAAGCAAAACCATTCGTTTGAAAAGAGCTCAAGTGAAAACTAGTTATAAATGAGAACGAGATTTTTTATATCTTTACATTTACATTTATAACGTATTCTGCACCGTCTAAACACTAATTCGCCAAACCAGATCAATTTGACCTTAAAAACACACCCAAAGCTGTTAATAAATTTATGTATTGTAAATTGATTTGGGGACTACCCTAAGACGACATTGAAAAGTATCGAAAAATTAATAATGATTTTATGTTCAAAGGTTTTAGGGCTTGGCGCTATGGCTCGAATACTATGAATAAAATATTTTAATTAGCATTGTCTGTTATAGTGACCGCAACTGTTATTTCGTGTTCATTACACACTTCCTCGTTGTTCATAAAGCTACATTGTATTACGTTTGCCAATTCCGTTAACACTGTTTCTTATTGGATATACTGCAGAATGCAAAAGGTGAAGGAGCAGAAACTCATTTCACATCTGACTTATTGATTCTATTCTTCAATTATTCAGATACGCAATCGGCACGTGTCGAGAATCGCTTGCCACATTTATCGTAATTATAGGCTGCGAACCACTCACTCATGAAACGCTTCACTCAATGAGCTCGCGGATTTCACAATGAAATGGGTACATTAAAGCCGTCGCCAGTGGCTTGAAAAATGTTAAGTATTGCCTTAAGCCATTTATGAGTCTTTATGAGTTTTATAAGTCATATAACAAGGTTAATGCTCATCAGGAATACGCTTTAATAGTGATTCTTTAGATTATCTCTCCAAAAGCTGTGTTGCCTTTGCCAAAATGTTTAATTTAACGCAAGGCAAAACTTAGCAAAAATATTTAAACCAAAACTAAACTTTTTGTTTATTTAATGTCATTATGGAGTTCTTAAAAATTAGCCAAATCTTTTTTATTGGCAGTGAATCTATAGTTTATTACCATAAAGTAGATTGACTTTAGTTCCATAACGAAAACTAAACATTAATTTTATGCCGTTTCCTGCGGTATTATTAGGCATCGAAAAATCTGGTAATAATTAATTGCTCATACGCACTGTTGCTAAGGCTGTATTTTTTAATTATTTGAAATCTTGTTTTAATGAACTATGCTCAATATTTTTGGAAACATTTTCTCACAAGTGTGACTTATTTCCTATGGAGTTAAGCCAGCAATAATTAATTGCTCATACGCACTGTTGACAAAACTCGTTCCTTAAGTGATTTTATTCAAATGGCTTTTTATTTAAAGCTTATTGTATTAGTTAATTTAGTTAGTTTATGCAAACAAGAATTTTACTTTCTGTAAATATGATTTCAGAATTCCTAGTTTGTGAGCGCCAAAAAAGGGCGATACAACGAAGGCATTCCTTTGCAGCCACCAAGCATTCACGTGTTTTTGTTGGTGTTTTTATTATTACTGAGGTCTTTTCGAAGGTGTTGTGTCGTAATTTGCAGTTGTCGTTTTTGCTTTTTGCCATTATTAGTTGTTGCTCATATTGCTCATTTTTGAATTCGTTTGTTTCTCGTTACAATTGTTTTTGGTTTATACTTTTGTTCATTTAGAATTTGCCTTAAACGTCTCTATGGTTATTTTTTGTGGACGCGCCGCCGCTTGGCCCGCGATACCGCTACCACGGCGCCATCTTCCATTTTTCGCTCGCTTCCGTTTCTGCTTCCGTTTCCGGTCCCGCCCAAGCACGAAGCTCCCTGGCAGAGGGGGCGGGGCGGGCGGCGTTCTGATTTTGGTGTTGTTGGGCGTTATTACTAGATGTCCTTGTGGGCCGCCCACACATTTGACCGTCTACCCGCTACTAGGGCGGCAACTGTGGTCAGGGCGAGGGGGCGTGGCTTGGCGAGCGGGGGTCGACAGTGGGCGGGCGATACGCGCGGGGGCGTGGCGCGCCAGCGATTACACGAACGGGACACACACACCAATGCATTTTGAGGTTTTAATATTTTTTTGTACGATTTTTCAGAGATTTTTTGCGGTTGTCCTGATAACACGATGATGATTTTATCTACTAGGTCACATTTAAGTAAGTCTTCTCTTTTTTTAGTGTATTTTATGTGTATTTTTTTAGATTTTTTTGTTTGCATTGATATAACTTTGGTCTGATATTTGCTTTTTTCTCATTTTGTCATTTATCATTTTCGATTCGTGATACATATATATGTCTTAGACTTTTGCGGTTGTTGATTTTGCTTTCTTGTTTATTTAGTTTGCTCCTGTGCTCCTGCGCTTTTGCTTTTGCATTTGCATCCTTTGGGGGGAGGACAATATGCGCCTGCTCCGGCCTTGGTTTTTGCTTCAGAGAGTGAGAGAGAGAGATGACGAAAGTTTTGCAATCGTAACTTCGGCTACCAACGGACACAATTCGAGAGAGTGGGGATGAGACGGGATGTGTCCAACCGTCGTTGCTGCGGAATGCACGACCGCCCGTTGGAGGTCCTTGCGATGCGGCTATTTAAGCGCCTTCGCTCGGAATTCCAACTTGGGAATTACTAGCCAATGCAACTGCAGAGCTTTTCCCCCCACAGAAAAGAGCTTCGTCCTCTGCATTGGGGATGCAAAAAGCTGCAGCTGCATGTGCTTTAGCTTTGACCTCAATTCCATTCCACTTCAACAACCCCAGCCCAGCGAGGGATGCTTCCGTTTCTGAGCACCTGTTGCCGGCCGAAAAGTATGCAACCCCCATTGCTGCTACTCACCTTTGAAAATGGGCGAGGCGCGCCAGGTGTGCGCCGCCCCCTGGCCCAAGAACTGGCCCACGGAGATCTCCAGCAGAATCATGGGCAGGCCGACTAGAAACAGCAGCACCACATACGGCAGCAGGTACGCCGACCCGTAGCGATCCAACTCGCGTGGGAAGCGGACCACGTTCGCGTAGCTCAGGTTCAGGCACAAGCACAACACAAGCCCACGGAACACCGAGCATTTCGTCTGCAGCAAAAGAAAGATGGAAAAATAGAACGAGTATTGACATTAGTTTGGACAGCTTGGGTTAAACATTAACTAACAATTTATTGACTACACCCACCAAAAATAACAGCTGGACCCCCATCAGCTGAAAATCCACTTTTCTATAAAAGCAAATTTTTATGTGGTAAATAATAATAATAACGTATATATTTAACGTTCTCGATCATTGATACCATTTTTAAAGCCTCAGTAACACTAAAAGATTTGGAAAGTATATTTAAAATAAAATATAAATACATTTTGATGGCATTAAAAAAATGTATGATTCAATGAGTTCACTATTAACATATTTATTTGTTTATTTAATTTTGGTAAGTCTACAAAATTATTTATTCGGAAATCAGGTCTGTGGTTATGTGGTTATTATATTCTTTTTGCAAATATGTACTTTTTAAAATATTTATAAATCTTTTATAAATTTTAAATCTGTATAAATTTAGAAGATTTTAGGAGGTATTTGTCAAAGTACCAGAGGTTAAGTATTAGTCACTTTAAGTTCATTAAATCATAATAATTTGAATGAAAACTAAATTTACGGCAAACACAGATACTGTACTCTTTCAAATTATTTTAAAAATAAAAAAGTGTGGGATACAAAATAAAAAAACTTTGGATAATTAAAAAGCTTAGGAGGTTCAAAGACACGAAGCATTTTTATAAATGTTTTTAACCCTGAACCCCCTGAAAGAAAGTAAGAGTTCACAAATAACTTCGTATTCATTCAGCTGTCCGAAAAATTTGCACAGCTGATGAGAAAATCCAAATTCACAAATTGCTGTCATATGTAAACCCATTTGGGCTCGCTTTTTGCAGGTAGCCCAGACAAATAGCGGCAGTCACAGTCACAGTTGCCGCATCCGCCGACATTAAACAAAAACAAAAAGATACTCCTACAGAGCGTCGCCATCGTTTCCGGTACTTCCGCTTTCGACTTGTGTAATTTTGCTATGCTTCGCTTTATTTTCATTAATTACACAATTTTGCTTTCTGTTTATTTGTCTTACGACTCATATTCCACTGCTCCGCTATCCAAGCTGCCCGAGTTCTTTGTGTTTGCACAGTGAGCGGCAAAAGAAAGTGCCCGAAACAGCAGGGTGTCATGGGGGATCTTATTAGTCGGCGACCGAAATTCGCTCATGGCTCTTATAAGTCATCTGCAAAATGTACAGCATAAGCCCATTAGATGTGCGCGCGCAAAAACATCAGCAAGCAACTAACAACAATCCTCACTTTGGTTACTTTCGAAGCCCACGACAAAAAACACAGTACAAATCCAGAATGCCAACTAGAGAATACCTTGGATTTTAGAGGCTTAAATTAAAGTATATTTAACAATGTTAACGTACTAAAACCTCTCATATTTTTTGAAACTCTTGGAAATGTAATCTAGAACTAAACAAAACGTAATAATCAAGGTAATTAATGTTTCTCAAACTTTTTCTAATATTAAATCTGAAACTAAAAATAAAAATTAAGTCTTAAGGAGCTTCATCTATAAAAGTATTTTTATATAATAAGTATTATTATTTTAATTCCTCGATTAAATGAATAAAAATGGAAGTAAATATTTAAAATAAGTGGGGACTTTATTTACCTAACATTAACCAAATATATTTACGTTTATTTATTCGAGCTTGGTGTAATTTTGTTTAACATATTATATAATTATTATTATAACTGACTCAAAAATTAAAATAATATTTACTTGTAAAATTGACAAATTACACTAACCTATTTAAGTTCTAAGCCCTTATTTTTATTACAGGGTATTTCTAATCGTTAGCTGGTGGAGCGCTATTAAGTGAAATTCATTCATTTGGACAAGCCAACTGCCAACAGGGGCACAAGCAGCATCCAGAGGTGGAGCGGTAACAACGTGACGCCTAGGTAAACGCAGTTAATAAAGCGAAAACCGCACGGTGAAAATGTAAACAAAAAAAATCGCCCAGCCATGCGGCATTTGGAGTTTATGAGCGTGCAGATGACGAGCGTTATATAGGAATATATCATATGCCATATCATGCATGATGGCCCCCACAAATCCCCACAATGCCCCTAAGCCCTATCACTTACTTTTCGATAGTATCGGAAGGGAACATCCTCGTGCACGACGTACAGATAGTCGGCTAAATACTTTGTCGTTGGTATCTCCATCTTGGGACAGACTTTGTATTGCTTGTAGGTTTCAAAGAACTTGTCATTTTCTTGCATTTGTTTGTTGTTACATACAAATCAGGTTTTCTATTGTTATGGTTTGGATTTATTCGTTTTGGGTTTTTTTGTGGATATGTGGGTAAACTGCGAGGTTTGTTTCCTTTTGAGCTGAAATTTTAATTGCACTGCACTCGAAAATAAATAAATTACAATTAGCGGGCGCACTCGTGTGGATTTTAAGTATTTCGTATTTATTTTTTAAACATCATGCTAATTAAAGCCTCGACTTGTGGCATTTGTGTCAAGAAAATAACAATATTTTTATGCAAGTGGAACAAGTTATCACGTGACGACAGCGAGCCCACAAAAAGCGCAGACTTTTAAAATAAATTGGCAACACCTTCAGAGCCTGGCCCTGAACCGCTTATTGAATGTCTCGCTGTCTCGTTTTGTTTTTATTTCATATAAGGTATTTGTATTCTTTTTTTTCTCATTTCACACAAATCGCCAACGCATATCAATGACAGTTGTTATGGAATTATAGTACTCGAGCTCCTTCTATATACAACGATATAGTGGCTTGTGGTTGCGGATTGCCTGGAATTCAATTACATTTTATTGCACACAGAACTCATTGGTCAGGCGATTCACTTCACACTTTGCATTTCCCCCGATTGCACTGCGTTTCCTTTTTACTTTAGATGGTTTTATTTTGATTTTCTAATTTTATTCGCCTTTTAAAGCTGCAAGTTGAGCGCGTTTACTCATCACTGCAGCAGCGTCGAATTGCGACTGCGCAGACGACGATTTTGATTGGGGGGAAAATCGAATTCGACTGCCCGAGGAGAAAGGGGCGGCCGAGAGATGATGGCCAAACGAGTTTTCCCCCGAATAGGTAAACTTTTATTTGGGATCTCTCTCCGCTTGATTTTTCCTCTGGCAGAGTTTTCATCTGGATGAAGCCCAGATGTTGTTGCTTTGGCCCACACGGAGCGTGCGAGCGAGCGTACCTAACTGCTCTCTCATTAATGCAGAACTGACGACTGACGTAGTGCCGGCGGCAGCAAAATAAAAACAGCACCACCAGCAGCGGCTCAAAAGCAGCGACGGCACCAAAGCGTGGCTTTCTATGCACAGTGGCTGCGCAAAGTCAGCGCACGCCTCCGCGCGTCTGCCTGAAAATACGGAGCCAAGCCTCATGCCTCACTGGGTTTCTTGGGAAATTTATGCATGCTTCTGCAAGCACACAGAAAAATACATACTGAGATCTATACTTTTAATAAAAGGTAATTTATTAAATCGTTAAACATTTTAATGGACTAAAAATCACTAGGATGACTGTTTTAATTATTCACAATAAAAAACTTAAAAGAAAAATTCAAATGAGTTTAAAGCTTTTTAGATTGAAGTCTATATTCTATCGATCTTTAAAACTACCAAATCAGTATTAGTTTTTAGAGGATTTATATTTGTCGATTACATTTTTGGATGAGTTTAATTCTTCTACGAAAGAATATAATTGCATAAAGGATGAAAAATGATAATCGTCAGTTAATTTAAGAGTAAATATGTCATAACTATTAAATACATACTTTAATTTTTCAAGTGCATTCTATTTTTCTGAGAGAATTTAATCGTCACAGGTTTATTAAAGCTCTTCAACATTCTAGGCTCGCCCACGTGGGTTAATTGAAAAGAAAAAGCAGGGAATACAAAGATGCTGGCTGTATGAGATTATATTTCTATTGCTTAATGATGCCCTAAGGCCGCGTTCCCATGTCTCGAAATCCATCTGCATAATTAACCTGTCTTCTGCACAGCAGGAAGTGCCCACCACCAAGAGCAGAAACCGTCAATTGGTCGTGGCTCTTTGAGCAGCTTCTCATATTAAAATTAAATATCATTTTAACACGTTCTTTTAGCGCAGAAAGAGGGAAGAGCGTGGCATTTTCTAATTATTATGTAAGCATGCGAGCGAAACTGGCACTGGGCGCACAGTTAACAGCACTCACTGTGCAATCCAAAAAAAGAGGGGTAATGAAAAAAAAATTATCGAGGTAGCGCCGAGCTAAATAGGTGGATTGAATGGGCGCTAATGAAAAATAAAAATATTATTACTAGTTAGGATTTATATTTGGCATCAAAGTTCTGCCATATAAAGCGGAAGTTCGTATGAAATGCTAATAAAAAATCGTAACGATAAAGGTTTGACTTTCTCAACGATGATCACATCAAGAACTTCCACACATTTAGCATAAATAATTGCTTGATTTTTTTGACGGTTTCGTTTGTGCCTCGCATATCGAATGAGCTCTAAACGGCTATAATAAGTATATGAAATATGAAAAGCCAAAAGTAAAAGCGTGGGCTGAGGCCAATTAATTGAGAAACTTAACCCATAAATACCCGCCAAGGTTTCTCCGGGGTTTCTTCTATCAAGAATTGATTCCGCGATTGTATCAGAATGGAAAGGTCTCCACATAGGCTGCACAATAATTACCGTCAATGTGGCAGCACCTGAAACTGGAGTGTGAAAATGTCCCCACAATGGAGCTGGCCACAAAAGGTGTCCGAAATAAGGCTATTGTGAGCAGTGTTTTCTGTTGAATAAGCGATGCCTCGACAATCTCTTTGACTGAACGGATCTGGGCACTGGAGCATGGACAAGTGTGCTCGGGGAGTTGTAGTTATAGTTATGGTACTCGCATCTGGCCTATTGTTTTACGACTTGGGTTGCGTCTCGGGGGCTCTAATCAGTGGCCAGTGAAAGGAGAAGTCATGAAGCCATGCAGCTGTGTGTGATATCGTTAACTCGTCAAATGGTCTCGGTTACACCCAAAACCCGGTAGCGCAGTGTACCGTAGAGTGGGATTGTATGTCTGTCAATTCAAAGAAATTCTGTCCGATTCCTTCACGATGCATACTTTCACTGAGTACAAATTCCCCCATTGGTCGATGCAATTCTAATAGCCCCTGCAATTATTGTGTTGCATTAAACCAGTTCGCAACTGACGTCATTTCTTATTTTCATTTCTTTTTTATGGCCGAAACGTGCGACGTGCCACTGCCGAATTTGCACCGAAAGTAACAGCAACATTGTAGTTGTTGCCACTGTGTTTTGTTGAACTTGTTAATCAGCGAATTGGAAACGAAAGGTGAAGTAACTGAACAGCTCGAGAAACATGCATATGGGCAGAGGTTTTCGCTTTGCGTCTTGGGTTTTGGGTTTTGGCCACTCGCATGGGCCGAAAAAATAATGGAAGGGATGTGGCGGGGGCAACGGCAACGAGGGGCCATCGATTGTGGTAAGCAAATTGCACATTCCAAAAGTCCCAAGTTAAAAGTAAAAATAAGCAAACAAGTATGCGAACTGCCGGCAGACATGGAATTAGCCGAGCCCAGTTGCAGTTACAGTTCAAGTTGCGGGACCATGAAATTGGTCAATAAATTGTACTTTTGCATGCGTAATAGCAGCCAATAAATAAAATGGTTAAGTTTTCAGCTATTTATCTATTAAATGGTTACTAAGTAAATATATTTTTAATTACTAAGGAAACAACACAGTAAATTCAATTTGATTGCATTTTTTACGGAACTTAGTTTGGCAAGAATGTAATTACATTTTTTTCTGAGTATTTGGTTTTTTTTTTATTAAGTTTTTAAATTTTTCATATTTTGGTTTAACAGTTTAATGTTCATTTGCCTTAAGATATATATGAAAGTTCATTCTTTTTAACCATAACAAAAGACTCAGGTCACGAACTCATTGCCCCCAAGACTATGCAACGCTTTACCACAGATGAACTTCCTTTGGCCTTCGGATAAAAAGTATAGCATATCTTATGGATGAAAATTATTTACTTTACTCATGGCAAGTGATGTAGAAAACCAATTGTCAGCGTGTCAAGCTCATGTAAAAACAAAAAGGAACGCGGCAACTACTAGAGGTATTATTTAGATCACAAAACAAAAATAATTAACATAATAATATTTTGAATGAATAATAAATTAATTTAGTTTGGTGAAATTACAAATATATTATTCTTTTAAGTATTTGTAACAATTTGTAATAATTCATTTTAATTAATTTTTAATACAATGTATTAGCTTTCATAATTAGATTATCATTTAGGTGCAAATTGAATTTAACTTTTGCAAATATATTCAAGTTTTCAAATCTTTAAGAAACTTTCCCATGATCTAACGAAATGAGTAATCTAACATTTATTCTTGCTCTCAAAAATAGATCTTTAAGTAATTTTTATTAAATCAACTGCACGCACAGCGGTCGGTGTGTGTGTGATGCTAATTAAAGCCAATTAACATCTGTTCGACGCATTTCATATTGCACTTGGCACTTGCACTTCCACATCCACTCGGCCGGGGAACCTGGCCTGAATGGGTGAAAATTGCGGGAAACAATGGCAGAGGTAGATGCGAAAGACAATGGCCAGCGACCAGCTGTGCCCTATCCGGTCCACTCCGATCCAGTCCGGTGCCCGCTGCCTTACTAACCCAAATAGGAGACAAATACGAGCACACAGATACCGAAACTAGTTTTATGATCGTGTTTATGATGTTGCCGCTGCCCGACAAACCCTATAAACAATGACTATTAGACTAAGACACAAGGATGGATTGTATGGAAGACATGCATTCCCCGCCAGGTTCGAGCAACAAAAGAGCTTCAGGTGTTTGAAGGTTGCCATCGCCACGCCCTCTGCTGCAACCGAGCTTGTGTGTCTTAGGTAATCTTCATCTTGAACACTATTCAAACACCTCAAATCGAAGATCAGCAAACAAAGGAGGAAAGCAAACAAATCGCGCGAAAATTAACGCGTTTTAACTCTAGAAGATATCACAGTGAGCTGAAAAAGTCTGCTGCTATACACGAAAACAATGTTTAAATAAAACTGGACCCAAAAATGAATGAACTTACACAGACAAGAAAATCAAATTTAAATGGGCTCACGAATCGAAATGGCATGCAAATTTTGTATCTAATTATATAATGTAATGACAATTTTAAAAGAATGTTAATTTCCTTTTATAAAACAAAACATAATTATACCCGTTACTCGTAGAGTAAAAGGGTATATTGTATTCGTGCAAAAGTATGTAACAGCTAAAAGGAAGCGTTTCCGACCCTATAAAGTATATATATTCTTGATCAGGGTCACTAGCCGAGTCGATATAGCCATGTCCGTCTGTCCGTCTGTCCGTCTGTCCGTCTGTCCGTCTGTCTGTCCGTCTGTCTGTCCGTCCGTATGAACGCTGAGATCTTGGAAACTATAAAAGCTAGAAGATTGGCATTTTGCATGTAGATTTTAGGAGTTCCTACGCAGCGCAAGTTTGTTTCAAACTGGTGCCACGCCCCCTTTAACGCCCACAATCGCTTATATACGATTTTAAAAATTTAAATATTTCGGAAAAGTAAAAATGCAGTTTTATTGTGTTTATCAATACCTATCGAAATTTTTCAAATCGGACCATTCGTTAAAAAGTTATGCGTGATCAAAGTTTCTATCTCCATCTCCCTCGCACTCCCTTTACCTGAGTAACGGGTATCTGATAGTCGGAGCACCCGACTATAGCGTTCTCTCTTGTTTTTAAGTTCAAAAATGAATTGGGTTAAGAAAATATTTAATTATTTGTATGCTTAAAAAATTTAAGACCACTTTTTTGATTAAAATCCCAGCCATCTTATCAAAATATTTATTTTTCTGGATGGAAATATTTACAAATCTCGCATTTATCACTACCAGCCGATTGCATTAACTTAGACAAATCGATCGATTGGAGAAAAACAAACAAAAATGTGAATATTCTGTTGAGACCTGATTGAGACTGAGACACGTACACAAAGTTAGCCCGAATATTTTCAGCATTATTAAGCAAAGAAATAAAATTTACAGCGTCTCGTGAGTAATCGATAGCCGGAATCGCTAAAGCTTCATTCAGAATACTCGCCTCACCTGATGATAAGTAGCAGTCAGCTGAGAATTAATCCAACATCATTCTTATTCACATTCATTCTTATTTATTCTCACAAAATCTGAAGAGGAAGATGATTCAAATCGCTTCTGGCTAACCCGTAACATTGAACAAAAGGGGTTCAACTTGAGAGATCTTGGCTGATAACTTCTAAATAACCAAAACAGGTAAGACCACCGCTCGACTGGAAGCCCAAATAAATTGCATACACGAGCTTCGGCTTCGAAGATGAACTACTTTTTTGAAAGTTCAATATATAGGAATGCTAAATGAATCTCAAACATGCTAATAAATATACACTTTAATTGCTTTGGCTAGGCCACGAAATAAAAGGCGTGTGGAAGATATGAGATTAGGTTAATAAATTAAAATAAGAATGTATTTGGATTAATTTGTTTAGTTTTTGGGAATGTAACCATTGACTTTGGTGTATATTTAAAGAGCTGTTGATCTTGTTAAAATATTATAAAGATGGTAGAAGATAATACGAATTGAACTTATATAACTCAAAAGAAATATTTTAAAATTGTGTTGAAATTTCGTTAAAAAACATAAAATTCTAGAAAAATAGTATCTGTTATAAATAAAGCTGAGATGTTTATTGTTTAAGACTTATAAACTCAAATTTAGCTAGGTTTAATTAAGTTTTTATTCAATAAAGTGACCGACCGTTAAGCACTAACAAATCAATAAAGTGGTTTTAATTTCCTAATAAGCCCCATTACCTCTTCGTTTTACCACCCCATAAAACCGCAATATTTTCCCCCGGCTTTCCAATACCACTCACCTGTTTGTTGGACTCATCCTCGACGGCGGGCAGCAGTTTGGCATTGCTGGCCGTGGTGATGTTGTGGGCGGAGTGGGCGGAGTGGGCGGAGGCGGACACGGAGAAGTTCTTGGACACCGCGTCGTGGTCCATGTCGTGGTAGCCGCCCTGGATTTCGCTCAGTGTGTTGTTGCTGCCGCTCAGGGTGACGATGCCGCTGGAGCTGATGCGACCGGATGTGGCGGTGGTGCGACCCCCCCCACTTCCACTGTCCACCACACTGGACACCGTGGAGATGCAGCTGCGTGTGGTCTGTGGCGATGGCGTGACGGTGGGCAGGTCCGCCTCGTTGGCCTTGGCCCGTCGCATGTTCAGCCAGGACATGCGCTGCGGCTGTCGGCGGTCCAAGGTCACGGAAATCTGACCATTTCCGGTTCCGCCCCCCGTGGGCGCTCCACCAATGTAGACGCAAGTTCTCGACGTGGCCGTGGAATCGCTGCGCAGGCGGCTGGAGTTGTCACTGTGGTTGTTATCATGGCGCGGCAGGGTTGCCATTGCGCCGGATATCTGGCGGTAGGTGGGCGTGGCCGGGGGCTGGGTGCCACTTCCGGCACAAGCTAGACTGAACTGCTCGGCGAGGGCCTCGTCGCTACTGCGGGTTTTATAGCTGCTGCTCATCGATCAGATCTGGCAGAGTTAACGGTAACAAAACATAAATGTTAGCTGAATTTGTCATTTAAAATCATTATTTTCTGATCAAAATAACATACAAATTCGGATCCAAAACCTCTTATTCAGGAGTGCCCCTAAATTATGATAAAATCAAATTTCAACAAAACCCGAAATAGTAGAAATATTTTGGGTTTGGTTAACAAATTCAAAAGGCAATTTATATTGATCCCTTTTTTAGCATGGAAATTGTTTGAGAAACCTTCAAATATTATTTATTAACATTTTATTATGATGTCCCGAATGTGAAAAAAATAATATATATACATACAAACAAATTTCATACTTCATTGCAAAAAAATATTTTTAATAATCGGTTGACTCGAGTGTCTAGAACACACCTGTGTCTACCTCCAAAACATGAATTGTAAAAGTATGGAACAAAAGGTGACTTTCAACATTTTTAAGCAACAAATCATTAAAATCCAAAGAAAACATTTAATATTTCAGAAACAAAATTGTCAACATTTTTCATTGTGTCGGTGGGTAAAATTCGTGGAAATATCAAAATAACTTCAAAGCCGAACTCCGCCTGAGGAGTTCACAGCCCAGAAATCATATTAAAAATACGATTATATCCGCTGTGGTTTTTCTAACGAAATGATTCATATGGGAGATACATTGGGGTTTTGTTTTGGGCCTGTTTGGACAACGGATTTGCATGCGAGAGAGAACAATGTTGAACGGAAAGTGAAAAGTCGCCACGAAGCTCTGCGAAAGTGAAAGCCCTTTTTGCCATTCTACCGCATACTGATAGCCATATTATGCTATGGATTATGACATTGTTCCCGGAGAATCTGCGATCGCCTTTTGTCATACAAATCAACACAAATCAGAGCAAATCTTTTTATTTCTGCTCTAGACAGTTGACATTTTCGCTGCCAAAATTTCACTTGGTTGTTTTTATCAGACACTGACAGAGAAAACATTTCGACAGAAAGTTGACAACAATGAGAGTTTAAACAAAGTCGTAAAAACAACTGTTCCAATATGAACATGGTAAAATAAAAAAAAATGCATGAAAACAAAATAAAAAGAATCAAAAGACACACAGCGATATCTGTTGCTTTGGGTCTCTGTTTCCCAACTTATTTTATTGACCTGAAAATGAGTTTCGCGCTGGAAATATTATTGGGATTCCATTGCCATTGCTTAACCCATTGGGTTACAGCATTGACAACCAACAACAAATTTCAATTCAAAAAGATTTTTATTTCATATTGGTAACATCTTTTTGTAATCGAAAATTTCATTCATTTTATTTCTAATAAAACTTATCGGCGTAAATTTAAAATTTACGAGTTGACAGAGAAAAGATATTAAAGTTATAAACGATAGATTTTTTATTAAGCTCATAACATGTCAGCCAATTAACGAACATGAATGACTTTTTTTAACGATTTGGATTCAAATCAACCGGTTGATTTGTTTCTAAATTAAAGATAAATAAAACACTCATACAATTTAATTGACCAGTTTATGGGCTGATGGAGAACTTGTTTTAATATTGTAGATGTAAATCATTACTGATAAAAACTGTATAAAATTCTAAAACGGCTAGCCTATGATGATAAATGCAATAATTATTGGTATCCGTATTTGGTATCCAATAAATCTGTGAATATATTTTTAAAAGAAAGATAAAGAAAAGACTTAAACACGTTCGCCATTATGCCAGCTACCGTCTTCGAGCCTTGGCCACACAAATTAAGCAAATATATGCGGCTAATAATCATTAATTAAGCCAAGTGCTCGAATATGTCCGACGATTGGTGTTTATATATTTAGCACCGCTGGAAACAATTCAAATGGCACGATGACTCAACTCGAACATAACATTTCGATTATTAAGGTTGTGTCATTATATTAATGACTGCTCTCATCTTATCGGCACAATAACACACATTTATCTTGCCCATAGCAGCAGCCTCTTATCACAATCACCTGAAATGCATATTTACAAATAGTTATGCATGCTTGCATAAATGAGCAAAAAAGGTTCGGCGAAATAAAAAAAAGGCGAGAGAAGAAACCAAAATCAACTTTAACATGCGATTGAGTTCGGTGACCAGCTAAAACAGTCCAAAAGAGGCCGTATCTCAATCTTACCCGAGTATTTATACAAATTTTCGCTCATTTACTGCTGTTCCATGCCGCCAAGTCATACAAATAAAAGCAGATGGAAATTGGGTGTGTTCGACTCAAGGAGTATCCTTTACTGAACATTAATGAGAGTATTGTTTTTAAGCCCGATTTCCTTTAATTTTGACAAATATGCAAAACGTCAGCTAAAATATATCATGTTATTTTGCAGTACTTAAACTGGGTTTAAGAACTATACTAATAGTTTATAACTGAGTACTAAAGAGACGATCAAATGTATTCCAAAAACATATCCCCAATTTTTATTGTCAATTTAAAAATGGAGTTTAGAAAATTAATATAATTATTATAATAATCTCAAAAGATAAGTACAAATTCGTCTAATGGGAGAAGTCAAACTTTTTTTTTTGGATAATGATTAAAAGACAACATTACATTAAAACTGAATTTTCCTTTACAGTCCCTTTTTTCGGATCAAATTACTTCACCCAGCCGCTGTTTATCCACAAACAGGCATTAATGAGTACCGGGTATCGAAGTGTTTACGGCGTCTTCGCCGAAATGAAGGCACCAAAGTGGATGACTGTGGCGTCTCCGTTTGTTTGTTATTGAACATTTTGCAAACAAATGTGGCGCCGTAGTGGCAGGGATTTGCATGCAGATAGAGATAACGATATGGAGAGATGTGAATGCCTTCGGATGCTTTGGTGGCCGAGTGTTAAGCACACCCATACACTGAAACCAGGGGCGATCGCAGACATAGATACAAATTGGGAGGAGACGGGGCGGAACCAAAAGCGGGATCGCTCGACCGTTGGCAAAGACTCGGAAACCCAGTCCAGCGGGACGAAGCCAAGGGACGCGATCCGGCGATGCATCAAGTTACAAGTTATTAACAGGTACGAGTGCGAGTACAAGTGTTGCCAAGGAAAGCATACGTACATACATACATATATATACCATACAATACCCGTAGTTGTAGATATGCCACATATCCGTGCCTGCTTTTCTTTGTGCACTCAAACCGAACGGCGACAAGTGCGGCGGTTGGGGGATTGGAAAAAGTATGACACTTGATAAAGGTTCTGCCAAAGGCAGCATATAGTACTACTATATATAGAAATGCCGGTGGTGCCAGCAGCAACATCAGCACCACCGCCATAGAATTCAGCCGGGCGTAACCACAGCGCAAGACAACTGCCACTGACCAAAGAAAACGCGAACATTAACTTGCCATTTAGCCTGTACTTATGGCCCGGAGAACCCAAACAATCCGCACAGAACCTCAGATCATCGTTCCACCTTTGGTAATAAAGTTTTTTAGCTGAATTTACCAAGGGTTCACTTCCAAGGAAACCTCAAGAATCAACTGCTTTGGCAGTCATTATATTTAATGGAAAAGCAAATGGATGGCTGAATCTGACGTATCATAAAAAGCTTCTCTTATGGGAAACAAAACAAAGAACTCACAAGATCAATCAATTTTTGAAGGGTAAAGTAGTTGAGGGATTTTGTAATTAACAAATGAGTATAATACATTTAAATGGGCTTTAAAAGAAATTTAATCGATTATGACAATGGGTTAAGTTATTAAATGAAACTTAATGTTTTGAGTTCTTATAATAGTTACCTGAATTGTAAAAAAAATAAAGAACTGATTACTTTTGGAATAGGGGTATGTCTATATGATTAGCTTTATTTTTTTTATCACTATGTAATTATTGTTTTCGTGCTAAGAGGTAAATGATATCTCCAGGGATTGACAATATGAAATTTGAATTGCTTTTATCCAGCTTTTCTCTCTGTGCGACAACCTTAAACTATAATAACATTCCCGGCGGATTAGCATCAATTAAACGGCGCACTATGATTAATTTCGAACCAATTGTAACGAGCACACGTGGTTGACCTTTGACAGGGCGAAAGTCCAAACTGCCGGCATTTCGAACGCCCATTATAAGGCTGAACCTGAACCCGAAGCAGAAATGTCACAAATGGCAGACAAACAACATAGTAATTTTCAATTACCAGCTGCCAGCACTAATTAGGGTCCAACTGGGTGGTTAATTAGGAGATCATCCAAGGCAGAGACCAAATCAAATCAAATCTAATCTCGTGGCAACAATTCATTCGGTAAACCACGGGGATAATCGCAATCGGCATGGTGCTATATCTTTATCTTTAATAGCCGTATCTGTACCTCAATCTGCATTCGTGTAATTGAAAGCCAGCGCTTGGCGTAAAAGGAAAGTAAAAACTATTTAGATGGGTCTTTTTATTTCTCCTCTTTCTTCTTTCTACTTCTGACGGCTCACAGATCACAGCTACCAACGAAAGTAAAAACAACAAAGCCAAGATACATACTTGGCTAACTGAAAACAGAGTTGACACAGTTTCTCAAAAGGCGAAGATTATGTAAAATTATGTGCAAATTGAATTGAAACTCGGGCGACACAAGTAAAAGTATCTGTATCTCGGCATCCGCGCGTGTCTGTGTCGCACTGATTGCCTTTTATTGATTGTCCAATTCCAATCGATGGCAATTAATGCTGTCCGCTCTGGGGACACGGACCACTGCAAAATCTCGCCGTGCCACGCCCCTCGATCGCTTGACTGATTCCCAACCCCCAGTCCATTCAAATCGAATTTTCAGCGGTGTTTTCTCAACAAATTGTCACATCTGCGATGGCAATTCGAGTTCCGTTTTCGTGTTAGTGGGGCGAACACTGGAGATGTGATCCGAAAACTTGTTCGGCCATTATGGCTCTGCAAATTGCATTTAGCTCGTGGTAATTACACTTATCCAGAGATCAAGGCATGGCAAGTGGACACTTTTTACTTTTCTGTTTTCCTTT